GGCACAGCCTTGTTGATCAGGAGTTCGTTCACAGAGGCCTTCTGCTTCATCTGGTACTTCTCTCCAGATTTCAGTACCTGTGACCCTTTCTTCCACTCCACTGGAACTCCAGGTTTGGACAGCTCACAAGTCAGAATAATGTTGGCTCCCTCTTCAGCCTCCTGGCTCTTCAGCTTTTGTACGAAGGTTGTCGGTAATGCTGGATGAGTAAGTTTTCAGTACTTGTAAAAACTGATGGAAACTTTCACCAAAGTTGTTGGCGTATCAACCAAATAAACTAAATCATTTCAGAATGTAGTAAGTAAACATTGCTGAAAAAGATAACTGAAATTCCTACCATTAACTTTCAAGGTTGCAGATGTCTTCTCATTTTTACACAAACAAAAATATTCTCCGCTATCTTCAACCTTTAAATTCCTAATATGAAGTCCACAGGAGGTGTTCTTCTGTCTCATGTCATACTTTTCTCCAGATATGAGAATTTCACCGCCTTTCTTCCACTGGACGTCAGCAGGTTTTGATAATTCACAACAAAGCATTGCTGTCTCCCCTTCATTCATGGTCTGATTTTTTAGTTTCTCACTGAAACGTGCTGGCAGGGCTACATAAAACAAAGAGTGTCTTTTTTCATATGAAACATGGTGTGGGATTTTATTTGGTTCTAAAGATGGATGTAAAACCAAAAGTATGGAAGAGCTAAGATGTTCCAGTTGTTTGAAACTTGTTTTTCAAAGTCAAATATGATTAAAGTTTGGTAACCGGAATGATGAAGATTCACCAATTCACCTTACTCAATCTTCAAATCAAATCACTTGCTCATAATGCTGGTGAGTGTAAGTCCCTTAGAAACATCAAAATATGCAAATTATGTCAGAATAAAAAAAAAAAAGAAGTTAATGACAGTACAAAAAAACAAAATCATATGCCTTTGTAACACTGGTAAAGTTCAAGGGGCACCAGTTTGTCAGAAGCTATTAGAAGCTTTAATGGCCTAAATATTATTTGAGCACTGCATTTCTGTAACTACCACATATAAGACGGATTAGTAAGACTGAAAAGGACATGTATTACCCTTTAAAACCATAAAAATCATGTATTTTTCTAACACAACCAAAGACATTCATTTTATTGCAAAAGTAAACTATCCTAAAGTCACATGATAATCAGCAAGCTGGGCAAAACATGATCTTTTGCCATTACACATGCTTAGGATCTTACCTTTAACTGTCACCTTTGCCATGCTTTTGGCGGTGCCCACATCACACGTGTAGATGTCAGTGTCTGCATCTTCCAGGTCTTTGATGGTTAAAGTCAAGACACACTCCTTCTGGGACATCACGTATCGGCCTCCAGCCTTGAGCTCTGTGTGGCCTTTAAGCCACACCACCGAGGATGGAGTCTGAGCTGTCTCGCATTGTAATGTCACAGAGCTCTTCTCGTCTGCTTGGCTGTCCTCTAACGTTTTACTGAATTTATGGATTGGTTCTGTTAACAAAAACAAACATTGTCAAAAGTCTTAGATATACGGCATTATCATTAAAAAAAACAAACCAGGGTTACTTTGAATCTCACCCTTTATTTCCAGTTTAGCTTTGGTAGTTGCACCTCCAATAACTTCACAACTGTATTCTCCAGAGTCTTTGGCAGACACATTACGGATGATCAGCTTCATCACTTTATCCTGTTGGCTGATCTCATACTTTTGACCTGTTTTGATGGCCTTGCCTTCTTTGGCCCACTTTACAGTAGAACGAGCCTGTATCACCTCACAGGTGAAAAGAGCATCTTCGCCTTGAGCCACAGATAAACTCTGAAGTCCTTTGGAGATAGACGAAGCTTGTCCTGTGAAAAGGGATGTTTTGTTTTGTTTTGTTTTTTTCAAAATAATTAGTCTTTGGTCTCTGGGCCTCGTAAAACTTCATATTTAACTTACCTTCAACTGTTAATGATGTCTTGGAGCTCAGGTCCTTAATGCTGAATACCACCTCACCAGAATCAGCAGGCGTGACATCCTTTATACTCAGCATGTATTTGCGTCCCTGACTGGAGATCTTAAAGCGGCCTCCATTCGAAATTGTTTGGCCATTAAGATTCCATGTGCACTCATCTTTGCTCTCACGAGATATAATGCACTCAAAGCTGCATGTGTCTCCTTCATTTACCTCAGCTGATTTCAGCCATTTTGTTATTCCAATACCAATTTCTGGGGTAGAAGCCATGATATGTATCATTTACCTTTTTTTTTTTAAACAACACAATATGTACAAACAAAATAATGGAGATACTCACCTCTTACAGTGACCTTTGACTTAGAGACCTCAGTGCCAAGATCACAACTGTACTCCCCAGCGTCCTCTTTGGTGACATCTTTGATGATCAGTCCCAAAGACTTTCCTGTGTGAAGGAGCTCATATTTTGGTCCTGCTTTTAAAACGTTTCCTTCTTTTCTCCATATTGGGGAAACCCTTGGCTTTGATGCTTCGCATGCCAGAGTTATCATGCCCTTCTCTTCTCCAATGACATCATCTAGTGACTTGAGGAATGCGGCACGCTTCTCTGCAGGGTTGTTGGAAAAATTAAGATGAGGTAGGTTCAATGAAGCTGGTAGTTCATGTCTAACTTTTTCAGACTTTGAGAACAAGTCATTTGTAAAACATCATCTTACTTCATTAATTTTGGAAAATGAAATTGTTGGCTGTTCTCACCTTTGACCTTGAGTGTGACAGACTCTGTCAGTTTGCGGACTTGAATAGTGATGGTTCCCCCATCCTGAGGTGCCAAGTTCTTCAGCGTGACCTTGTGGACCTTCCCCTCATGTGTGATGGTGTTGACTTCATTAGTGAAGAGCACTTTGTTATTCAGAAGCCACTGCACCCCTTCATCTTCATAGTTAATCTCACATGTGAACACAGCATCACTATCTTCATCAACCTCTGTGTCAGCCAGGTGCTTGGTGATCTTAATTTCACGCACTAGTTGACAGGAACAAGTAAGTTGCGTAAGTCTGATGATCAGTGAAGAATTTAACTGTTCTAAGCTTTCAGTTTTTAAAGGTGCATACTTTACCTTCGACGCTAAGGGTTCCTTTGGTCTGTGCAGGGCCTGACTCACAGCAATACTCTCCACTGTCCTCCTCCGTCAACCGCTGAATGGTTAGTTGGGCTCTTGTGGCATCTTGCTTCATGCTGTACTTGTCAGAAGCTGCCAGAGGTACCTGACCTTTGAACCATTTAACCTCCTTGGGCGGGACAGAGAATTTGCAGGTGAGTACGGCAGAGTTTTTCTCTTTTGCCTTCACATCTTTGATGGGCTCTGCAATCTCAAGCGGACGCTCTAAATAAATCAAACAGTTGGTGATTAGGCACAGAGCTGTTGTGACAAGATCATGCTAACAAAGGTTACTGTGGTTTGTTCCAAACATTTACCCTTGACTGTGAGGGTTGAAGAGGATTTGCTCTTCCCAGCTGTAAACTGCACAGGTCCTGTCATTGATGCTTTTGTCTTTTTGAAAGTGAGGCGATGCATGGTGCCTTCCTTCTCCAACTCAATATCAGCACCCTCGTGCACAGGAACTCCACTCAAAGTCCATATAGGAGGTTTCACCAGTTCCATACTAATCTCAACCTCGAAAACAGCTGCAAAGGGCTCTGTCACCTCTACTGAACTGAGCTCTCGTACTATGCTGATGGACTGCTCTGCAGGATTATACAAAGAGAACAGTTTATTGGAAGTTGTTATTAAGATTTTAAATGAAAAAAGTCCTCACTGTGTCACTGAGAGTATTAGTTACCTGTTTTTTTTTTACTGTTGTCCAAAATCTCAAATTATGTGTATCAAGTGTGCTATGAATTACTTCTAGAAGTAAACGAGTAATTTATCTGTGAAACTATAAATCTGAAGGCATGTTGGGAATTGCAAAACTTACAAATAAATAAACATGGTGTTGCAAATTATGAGTACACAGGCACAATTAGCCTTGGCTTTGTCAATGCCTGTGCATCTGAGGAGAGCAAAAAAATTAATTGCACAATTTGAACCATGAAAAAAGGTCAAATCATTCATACAATCAAACTTTTCACTCTACCCACATTGAAAGTGAAATGTTGCCATTTATGTTCTAGGGTGAGAAATTAGTTCTGGGTTAACCAATCTAGTAGATAAGGCTTGTTACAAAATAGTTAGGAAATAAATTCAAATAATTTTCTACTCCATCCCATTAGTACATTACTTCACGTAAAAACAATAAAAATAAATCAGTGCCTCATTGACTTGGAGCTGATGGATTGTTTGATGGAAACTTTTTACCTATTCACATTAATAAAAGGTTTCCAATTAATGTTTGTCATCTTCTACTTGGTTACCTTCCACAAGTAGTTTACATGATGTCTTGTCATCAGTAGCATCGCAGGTATATGTGTCTTCATCCCCAGAGTCCACGTCATTGATGGTGAGCTTCCGGTACACATCTTCACTTTTAATCTCATACTTTTTGCTTGATTTGACCTCCATCTTGTTTTTGAACCATTTCACTTTTGCACTGGCCCGTGACACTTGGCATTCAAGATGACCACGATGCTTGTACATCGCTATCTTATCCCTGAGTTTCTTCACAAACTTGACAGGCAGCTCTACAGTAATAAGTAATAATACTTGGTGAATAAACACTGTGATGTGTGTAGAATTTGAACATTTAAAGCTATGCCAGAGGCTTTGCCAAAGATATTACTTTCACGTAGCACTATGTGACAGACACTGCCGAAACTGAATTATGCCATAACTAAAGCAAATGGGAATAAGATATCATCAAACACCATAAGGTTTCTTAGATATATTGAGATTCATCTGTTTTCTTTTTCAGATCATTGAGCAAATAGCAATAATTAACATATTTCTGTTACTACATTAGAAAAGCTAATTAATACATTAGGCTAAATCTGTATGTTTAGGCCATTTACAGCAATTAACCACATGTGCAATTATCTTGCCACTGAATTCACCTCAGACTTATTTAGGAAACTTCCAAAACTCAAATGTATGCACCAGGTTGTCTTGTAGTTGCGATTACTTTATCATGCCATCAGGACTCAATGAGGAATAACAATGTAAATGTTAGTTGCATTAGGATCTGTCTCACCAGACTAAATACTGTCAGAAAGATGCATGCTTTTTCAAGAGACATCATCTGTCTCTCTATCGTTATCCTCGATCATCAAAGCACAGAAGACCAGCTATCTGAATCGAGAGCAAATATCCTTAGGTAGGTTAAATTCTTGCAACTTCCTGACAGCTTTTGAACTAATGGAGGCAATCCATTTGCAACCACATCAAACATTGTAAATTGACTTCATGATTCCATGCAAAAATGGTTGAAAAATTCAATGTTGCAGGACGGTCACACAGCAGAAAAAGTTGCTTACCTTTCACCTTCAGTTTTGCAGCTGAAGATACTTTCTCAGCTGTAAATTTAATCTCACCCGTATCATCAGGGGTAACACATTTGAACAGCAGTATGTAGGTTCTTCCTGGAATAAGAAATAACTGAGTTAAGAAAAATCTTGAGCAGTCATAATAATCATTCTAATTAAACATATAATTCCTCGGGTATATACATTAATTCAAAGTACCCTCATTTTACTTTTAATTTAAATTCCAGTGACCTCACCCTCTTGTCTCATCTTGATGTTGTCGCTGCCTTTGAGTTTGGTGTTTCCTTTGTACCAGTGGCACTCTACGTCATCATGTGAGATTTCACAGGTAAACGCAGCACTCTCTTTCTCCATCACCTCCACATCCCCTAGCTTCTTCAGAATCTTGATATCTCTGGCTGCAGCGACAGTTCAGAAAACGTATTTCAATACTGCACACTCATGAGGAGACTTTAACTGGTTTGCAAATTTGTGATGTGATAAATGACTACCATGAACAGTAAGCTTGGCGGAGGTGTTATCATCAGTGGTGCGACAGACGTAAGTGCCTCCATCTTCTGGCGTGCATTTGTTGATGATCAACGAGCGCTTTCGGCCCAAGGAATGAATGCTAATGTTCTTCCCTGGTTTAAGCTCTACATCATCCTGTGAATTTATTGGTAAAATTAAAGTGCATGTTAAAATCATGCAATTTCCCTTTGGAGACATCAGTTGATAGAAAACCTTACCTTGAACCATCTAACATCTGCATTGGTTCTAGACACTTCACATTCAAAAGTAGCTTTATCCTTCTCAGGAACACTGTTGTCCACCATAGGTGTAGATATCATGGCAGGAGGTTCTGTACGATCAACACATTTCAGTGTAAGTCATAATGACTGGACAAGTAACACCTTGACAGAAGTAAGGGCTGGCAGAACCGACCTGTGACAATCAGTTTGCCTGACGTATGGATTCCCTCAGCTTGAAAGGCAATAGTTCCAGCGTCCTCCCTCTTGAGATTGGATAATGTAAGGGCGTGCTTCTTTCCCAGGGCTGTAACGCGGCAATTTGTTCCTGGCTTTAACTTGGCCCCATCTCTGGTCCATGACCCTTCAGCATCAGCCTGACTGAGCTCGACTTCAAGTGTTACTGTCTCTGTTTCATGTACTTTGGTTTCTGATAAACCCTTTAGCACTTGAATCTTCCTCACTAAAGGGGTGATATGAGATTACAACCCAAGCATGAGTAAATTAGAAGATTCTGTAAATCAATATAACTTGTTAATACATAAACTGAATCTCCATAAAGATATTAAGCTTATTCACTTCATAGATTTGAACATTTTGTCAAACGTGTCTTACTCTCAACGGTGAGCTTGGCCTGGGTCTTGTCATCCAGTGTCTCACAAGAGTAGATGCCTCGGTCAGCATAAGTTACACATTTGAAGATCAAAGCCTGCTTAGTTCCATCAACCGTTATCTGTACATTTCCTGCAGGCTGCAGCACCACACTGTTTTTCATCCATTTGACTTCATCTGAAACCCTGCTGAGCTCCACTTGCAGGCTTGCTTCACTTTGTTCCTCCACTGTCAAGTTTTCCATTTTTTTCTTAAATGTGACAGGTTCACCTGAAATGGGTGCATAGAATGTTAGTAGACGTTAAAAATGCTGCATCAGTTCTCAAATGCAGATATTAAAATAGTCATCCCACATCCCCATTCTTACGTTGTACTTGGAGGGTAGCTTTGCAGCTTTTGCCTTCAGCATCAACACTAATCTCTCCTGCATCTTCCTGGGAGACAGATGTGATGGTAAGAGAGTAACTCCCACCACCATGCTCAATCTTGTACTTGGGTCCAGCTGTGATGGGTATACTGTTGTGAAACCACTTTACGCTGACGTCTGCTGGAGTGACGGCACATTTGAAAATGGCATCCTTTCGCTCCATTGCAGCTACATTGTTGAGTTTGGTGGTTAGCCTCACTTGTCTTGGTGCTGAAATGAATCAAGCAGACTCATATTACATGAATACCTTCTAAACCTGAACTAGATCGTAAATGTCAAGATTAAATAGTCCATTTACCTTTAGATGTTACTTTAGCAGAGGTCTTGTCATTTTTACATTCACAGCTATATTCTCCTTCATCTTCCTTAGTCATATTTGCCAGAGTAAGAACTCGCTTGGCTCCATCTGTTCTGATACAGGGCCTGCTGCCGGGCTTAATCTCACGGCCATTATGTTGCCACACAACGTCCCCAGAGGCCTGATTTAGTTCACAAATCAGGCTAAGTGAGCCTCCCAGCTCCACAGTAGCATGTTTCAGAGGCACAGCAAACTTCAAAGCTGAATCTGAAATAAAAGAGTGAGGGTTCAGCTTCAAAACAAATTATACCATTCAGAAATATATGATTTGGACCTACCTTTCACTTGAACTTTGAACTCCATTTTGTCGTCAGCGGTTTGACAGGAGTATGTTCCAGTGTCTTTGGTCTCAGCAGATTTCACTGTCAGAGTACGACTGATTCCATCTTTTTTCATTTCATACTTGCTGCTCTCCTTGAGCTCCACACCATCTCTAAACCACTTTACATTGCCAATGTCAGTGGTCAGCTCAGTGGTTAAAACAATGTTTTCACTTGTTTGGACCGTTATTGTGTCTTTGATAAGCTTTTTCTGGAATTTGACAGATACATCTGCAAAAGAGGAACAACAATTACATTTTCATTGGTTAAAACAATAACAAATCCATTCACAGAATTTATTAGAATTCAAATACAATTTACCTGTCAAATGAAGTTTAAATATTAGCTTCTCGGTTCCAGCTTCACAAGTGTATTCTCCTGCGTCCTTTTTCTCCATCTTTTCTATCACCAGCTCACGACCTTTGCCCTTTGACTCCATGTGGATAATCTTGCTGGAAGTGAGCAGCTTGCCATCTTTGTACCACTTCACCTCTGTTTTGGAATCTGAAACCTCACAACTCAAAGTGGCTTTCTGGGAAAGAGAAGCTTTCACCTCTTTCTGGACCGACTCCTTGTTAGAGAAGCTAGCAGGTGGTTCTGCAGAAGAAATTAAAGATCCAGTAACACATGCAAAATCTTTGTGCAAATGTGAACTGACAAAGCTAATGAATACAAAACTGGAAAACAATACAAAATAAGATCAGTTTAAAGGTGCATTCAAGAGTAATGACATATAGCAGAAAATACTGGGCACATCTTCTCTCACTCACCTGCCACTTGTATCTTAAATACCAACTTCTCAGAACCAGCCTCACAGATGTACTCTCCAGCATCTTTCTTCTCCACACTGTCTATCACCAACTGGCGATTCTTTCCCTTTGCCTCTACGTGAACTGATTTGATAGATGTCAGCTGCTTGCCATCCTTGTACCACTTCACTTCTGACTTCACATCAGCTACCTCACAGCTAAGGGTTGCTTTCTGGGAGAGATTGGCTTTTACCTCCTTTTGGATAGACTCCTTGTTGGAGAAGACTGATTTGAATTGAATTTCTAAAGAGGGAATAAAGCAAATGTAAATGCGGTAAAATTCAGCATCACCAAACTACTTTGTTATAAAAGATAACAGAATCCGTAAAGCTTTATCCCAAAAACCTGGGATAAAATACTTTTGACCTCTTCCTCTGAAATTAATGTAACAATGGAATTTAATCTTACCCTCAATGTGCATTTTCAAAGCCAACATATCTGTGCCAGCCTCGCAGATGTACACTTACCTGCTGTCTCCAGTTTGAAAACAAGCTTTTCGGTCCCAGCCTCACACATGTACTCTCCAGCGTCTTTCTTCTCCACGCTGTCTATCACCAGCTGCCGACTCTTGCCTTTTGATTCTGTGTGCACCGTCTTGCTGGAAGTGATCAGCTTGCCATCTTTGTACCATTTCACCTCTGTCTTTGACTCAGCTACCTCACAGCTCAGGGTGGCTTTCTGAGTGAGAGTGGCTTTCACCTCCTTTTGGACAGATTCCTTTTTATAGAAGGCAGACTGGATTTGTGTATCTGTAGAGAGCATGAATGTGGTAAAAGTTTTTTTTTTCATGGGTTTATATATCTGAGTTATTTATCCAGGCTTTATTTGTATGAGTTTATTTCTTATCCTACCTGCCACCTCCAGTTTGAAGACAAGCTTTTCGGTCCCAATCTCACAGATGTACTCTCCAGCATCTTTATTCTCTACACTGTCTATCACCAACTGGCGATTCTTGCCCTTTGCCTCTACGTGAAGTGATTTGCTGGGAGTCAGCTGCTTGCCATCCTTGTACCACTTCACTTCTGACTTAACATCAGCTACCTCACAGCTCAGGGTGGCTTTCTGGGAGAGAGTGGCTTTTACCTCCTTTTGGACTGATTCCTTGCTGGAGAAGGCTGATTTGAACTGAACCTCTATGGAGGGAAGAGGGAAAATATCAAGATAGTGATTCCTCCTCACTTTAACACATAATGGCAAATTATCAAATGAGGCAAAGGCCAACTATAACTGTTAATTATTATAGGACAAGGGGTAAAGGGCTATAGACAATACAGGGCAAAACTTCCGAATGGGGAAAACATTGTTACAGAAGTGGACGATTTTCTATTTATTTCACTAAAAGTAATACTATATATAGATCCGTGCAATCATCAATACATCAAACTCTTAGTAATTAAACAAGAGTTTAATATTCACATGGTTGCCCATAAAGTTGGTATAAAATACTTTTGATCTATTCTTGTGAAATGAATGTGACAATGGGACCTAGTCTTGTTAAAAAATGCAGATCCTAATACTTTATTGATCAATACAAAAATAAACAGAAATATGAATGTGTGTCACAATAAATTAAAACCTACAGACAAAGTTAAGTCAAACTGCATTCTACTTACCTTCAAGGTGCATTTTAAAAGCCAATTTCTCTGTGCCAGCCTCACAGATGTACTCTCCAGCATCTTTCTTCTCCACGCTGTCTATCACCAGCTGCCGACTCTTGCCTTTTGATTCTGTGTGCACTGTCTTGCTGGAAGTGATCAGCTTGCCATCTTTGTACCATTTCACCTCTGTCTTTGAGTCAGCTACCTCACAGCTCATGGTGGCTTTCTGAGTGAGAGTGGCTTTCACCTCCTTTTGGACAGACTCCTTCTTATAAAAGGCAGACTGGACCTGTGTATCTGTAGAGGGTGTGAAAGTGGTGAAAGTTTGTTTTCTTCATGGGTTTATCTATTTGAGTTATTTATCCTGGCTTTATTTGTGTCAGTTTGTTTCTTATCCTACCTGCCAACTCCAGTTTGAAGACAAGCTTTTCGGTCCCAGCCTCACACATGTACTCTCCAGCGTCTTTCTTTTCCACGCTGTCAATCACCAGCTGGCGACTCTTGCCTTTTGATTCTGTGTGCACTGTCTTGCTGGATGTGATCAGCTTGCCATCTTTGTACCATTTCACCTCTGTCTTTGACTCAGCTACCTCACAGCTCATGGTGGCTTTCTGAGTGAGAGTGGCTTTCACCTCCTTTTGGACAGACTCCTTTTTATAGAAGGCAGACTGGACTTGTGTATCTGTAGAGAGCATGAAAGTGGTGAAAATGCTGTTTTTTTTCATGGGCATTTAAAGGTACCTCCACTATCTGTTTAATATTTCAGTTGACAGAAAAACAACAGTCCAGTTTACTTCTTGAGCCTACCTGCCACCTCCAGTTTGAAGAAAAGCTTTTCATTCCCAGCCTCACAGATGTACTCTCCAGCATCTTTCTTCTCAACACTGTCTATCACCAGCAGGCGACTTTTGCCATTAGATTCTCCATGTACTGTCTTACTGGAATTTATCTGCTTGCCGCCTTTGTACCACTTTACCTCTGTCTTAGAATCAGAAACCTCACAGCTAAGTGTGGCCTTCTGTGATAAAATGGCTCTCGTATCCCTTTGAACTGACTCCTTGTTAAGAAAGGCTGATTGCGCCTCTGATGAGAATGGATGATAAATGTTTCAGACGCTATTTGTTTAAAGCTTTATGATTTGCACCAACAATTCTTACCTGCTACGTGGACCTTAAAGGTCAGCTTCTCAGAACCAGCTTGGCAGATGTACTCTCCAGCATCTTTCTTCTCCACGCTGTCTATCACCAACTGGCGACTCTTGCCTTTTGATTCAGTGTGGACTGTCTTGCCGGAAGTCAGTATCACACCATCTTTGTACCATTTCACCTCTGTCTTTTCATCAGCTACCTCACAGTTCATGGTGGCTTTCTCAGAGAGAGTTGCTTTCACCTCCTTTTGGACAGACTCCTTATTTAAGAAGAGTGATTGAGCCTCTGAAATTAAAGCCAATGAAAAATACAATATTGTCAGGTGTACAAACTTAGTTTACCATTATTCCTGAAAATTAGCAGAAGCATAATGCAACTGTCTTGTTATTTGACAAATACTGTATACAATTAAGATTCCACTATTTCCACTGTCTGTTTCACAACATTTTCCAAACTTCTACCATTTTACCTTTGTCTTACTATCACATACATCACAACGAATAGCTGTTTTCTGAGAGTGGTAGACTTTTACCTCCTTCTGAACTGACTCTTTGTTGGAGCTAGAGCGGCAATTTTATGAAACATTTACCAAGTTTACTAACTTTAACATTACTATACTTATTATCAGGTCTTACCTTTAATCTTGACCTGGAATGTGACTTTGTCAGCTCCTGTCTCACAGGAATATTGTCCTTCATCACTTTTCTTGGCATTCTTGATTATAAGTTTCCTTTGAGTCCCTTTGGAGATGATGGTAGTTCTTTGGTCCTCAGTGATCTGTACTTGATCCTTTTTCCACACAACCATCGTGCTGACAGGAGATACCTCACAGCTCAGCTCAAGATCTCCTTTAAGGGTTGATGACAATCCCATGGTACCTCTGGCTTTATTTAGAAATTTGGGAGGTTCATCTAGGAAAAAAGCAAGATTTGTTTTGAAACCAAGTCCTGCTGTATTATATCATATTGTTTAATGATAAAAAATGCATAATTTTAATTTACATAGAAAGAAAAGACAGTGAAAACATTTCAAAATATAGAATACCACTGTATGTATTTTGTCCAAATGAATACTCCACAGTACAGTGAAATGGTAAAGCTGTAGTTTGTAGTTACAGCTTCAAAGAATATACCTTTAAGGGTGAGTTGAATGGGCATCCTGTCCTCAGCCAGAGCACACTCATAAATGCCCACATCTTCATCTGTAACATTGTGGACCATCAGGATCCTCTTCCGGTCTTTAATCACATATTCATACTTCTTGCCCATTTTTACTTCACGTCCATTCTTCATCCAAACTACCTAAAGGAACAACAACAAAAATTGTTTCCCGGTGTTTATTCCTCAAATCATATTAATAACTTGTCTCTGTTACAAACCTGTGCATCATAATCTGACACCTCGGCAGTCAGCTGAGCTGTATCTTGGACACTGCAACTCACGACATCTGGATGATCCAACTTGTTGGTGAACCTAATAGATGGGGCTGAAAATACAGTCGTACAGTTGAAATGAAGCTCAGGAAAAACATTAAAAAATGCCAAATAAGAAAGTGGAAATATGCAACGATATACTTAGAATAATATTAGAGCATACCCTTCACAGATAGAATACAACTGCTCTCTGAGCCTCCACCCACAAATTTGACCTCAGCACCATCCATTTCCATGGTCACGAAACGGATGAGCAGCGTGTGAATGGTCTTTGATCTTGTGATGAGGTAGTCGGCTCCACTGCGCAGGAGGCGCCCATTCAGGGACCAAAAGCCTGAGCAAACAGCGGACAGTTCCACAGAGATAGAGAACTCCTCACTGGAGACCGCAGTGCTGTTAATCAGACCTTTCCTGATATCTGCAGTGGGTTCTGAAGAAAACAAACAAATAAGACAAAATAAATAAAAAGAAAAACAACACAAGCATAAACATCAATGATAAATATGAGTGACTCACCAAGATAGAAGGTTCCTGGCACCTCCAGATAAGAACTCTGACCAAAGTCATTTGTGGCAGAGATACGAAATTGGTAGCTGGCTTCCTCAGAGAAGTTGCAGATTCTGATCTCTGTTGAAACAATTATTTCTCCAGCGTTGCATCTCTGCCAAGTAGATGTACCAACCTTCCTCCTCTCCACGATGTAGCTTTTGATGGGTACTGGGCGATCACTGTCAGGGGGAGACCACTGAATGGTAATGGAAGAGTCAGTCTTGCTCTGCACCACAGCATCGACGGGGGGATCAGGAGGATGCTTCCGTGCAGCTTCATTGGAAAAGGGATAATAATATCAACATTAGACTATTAGTATTTGCTTCAATTTTTATGCTTCTTTTTTATTTTACAGATCAAATTACAAGTTTTACTGGGAGCTATAGGGGCTGTCAGGTAAGATTAAATACAATATTATCTTTTAAAATTAATATTTAAAAGTAAAAACCAATAGATCAAACAGTTAAGCTTTTAAAGCTTGTGGCACTTGACTTGCCAGTGACAGAGAATCGTGTGGACGTCTTGCAGTCTCCAGCCACAAAAGCCACTTCTCCCGAGTCTTCCGCCTGGCACTCTCTAATTGTGAGTGTGTATTGTCTAAGCACACAGGCAATAGAAATTCGAGAGTCTTCCTTCAACCTCTCGCCATTGCGAGTCCAGTACGCATCGGGGCAGGGATGCTCCAGCTCAACACAAAAGATGACGGTGTCGCTGACAGGAACTACTGTCCTTCGAGGAAGCTTCCTTGTGATGTTACCTGAAACAAGGGAATAAACACACTTCACATAACAATTTTATTTAGCACAGAACGCAAACCACACAATGTTCAATAATACCCAGGACAGTGAGCTCGGCCACGGTGCGGCTTCCCTCCTTCATCTCGCAGATATAAACGCCATCATCATTCGTGGTGACGTTATGTATGGTGAGACGACGTAGGGTGCCGTCCTCCTCCATGCGATATTTTGTACCTTCCTCGATTCTAGTTTCCTCCATGAACCAGTTGGCCTGTGTTGCAATAAGAGGTACCTCACACATGAGCAAGGCGGAGGTTTTTTCTTGCACCTCCACATCCTGCAGCTTTCTCCTGAATGGCACCTTAGGTTCTGGCAGAAAGAAAAAATGAACAATTACAGTAAATGCTGCAAAAAGTATGTTTCTCATGGTACCTCCAACAAATTCACTGTGTGGTATCAATATTACACATATAAGCTATACTTGGAACCCACTTTCAGAGGTATGGACCATTATTGGTAAGTAATCACAGCCATTTTCATATTGCTATAGAAATTGAAGCCCCAGCTGGCGTTACTCATATCCTTTAGATAAGGTTTCATGTCATTAAAAGTTAACTGAAAGGTTGTTGGCATTCAGTTCTTAAAAATTATAAATTGACAGTTTTGAAATAGCTAAACCCGTCTTCTTTTGGAAAGCAGATCATTTATCTGAACCAGGCAGCCGTATAGCTCCGTGCGTTGAATAAGAGTCCAATGTGCAACCCAAACCTGACCTGCAGACATTTGCTCCATGTCAATCGTCTCTATTGTTCCCCAGCCCCATATACCGTCTACCTAGACTAGAATACAGATCACTGTTGAAAAAAAAAATATGTGAAAATGTACTTGAACTGTTGAACAGTTCAAAAGTTCACGAGCTGAAGTTGGAAGTATACAAAAAACTTCTAACTTGCACTAATGAAAATATAGAATAATATAGAAAATTGTGTAAGATAACATGATGAACTGATGAACAGTAACATGATGAATCCCACACTTTCTTCACTTTACACCCAGTGTTTTCAGGGAGAATACAGAGTACACGTTTAACTTGTGAAATCACAGTTCTCTCTATCCACTATACTGTGTCCCAGTATTTGCCAAAGCTGATATCGTGAATGTCAACCTCAGCCACAAAAAACAAAACGCAAACCAATTTGAAATATTTACAGTCTGCTCTGCAGTGGAAAACTTTTCAGCTAAACAGCCAAACAATTTTACCTGAAATCCTGTCAGGTCACCCTAATGGCAAAAATTGAGGGATGTGAGTGTGGCTTCCATAGTGAAGCCTCGTTCGAGTTTTAATCAAAGGCACATCATCATTTCGTTTATCACTAAAAATTCTGAATTCAAATTCTGTATTCGAATGCATGAGAATTAAGAAATAATTTAAAGCCTGAAGTAGAGGATCGTACTTGCTTTCATATCACTGTTTATTTTGTATCTGTTAAAAAATTATTTGATTACTGTATTGACTGCTGAAAACAATAAGCAAGAGACTACCACAGAGAATTGAGAAAGAGGAAAAAATCCAACTTAATTCCTGGTATGGATCCCTTTTCTTTCCAAACAGCAAGCTGACCTTCCAGGGAATGAATTGCATTGAGCTCATGCTTCCTTAAATGCCTTTCTCTTTAAAAAAAAAAACATTTACTATATCATCTGTTGATAAATCAAGTCAATAAACTAATAACTCTTTAAAAGCATACACTTTCTACCCTCAACCATGTTGCAAGCCAAATGACAAAAATAGCAGTTTCCCAATTCCATACATGATACATAGTGAACAGGCTCTGCCTACTGTCAGGCTCAATGGATGTTCACAACCAAGGAAAATGTCTTTCTCTACAGTTTCCTTTTCTGGGCCAATTATTTTCTCAAGGGAAGTCACACTAGCAGTGTGATGACGACTTCTTGCAGGTGAGCGACCTTCTCAGCCAACGGCGAACTACTCGTCACCAGCAGAAAATAGATGCAACACAACACCTTCCTTCAGAAGGATAGCTTGAACTTAACCTTGTCATGGGCCACCACACACACTTGACATTTTGAGCTTTTTAAATAAGACATAAATATGGTGATCGCAGTTACTTTTACAGCAATGTTGTTGCCAGTAGGCTTTAACATGACACATAAACCAGCTATACTGCAGTGCTTGTTAATGATCCATCAGTGCCACAAACACAGTCATCTACATTACACCCCAACAATATAAATATTCCACAGAGCACCAAATTTGTATCAATCTGTTGCTGATAATGCCCTCAGTGAATAAAGCAATAAAGCATTAAGTTTTGTTAGAAACTTCTTGAGCGCAAGATGAATATTAAAACCATACATGAGCATGAACTTTGTTTTAAAACTAAATCTTCTCCAATAAAAATAAGAGCTTATATCTATGGACCTGAATTCCACAAATGGAGAGTTTGGATATTTGGCTTTTCATGGGATTTGTTGGCATGTATACAGATACAGAATAAAGCAAACTATGAGCGTAAAACCCTATAGAGTACATGTTGAGAATAATCTGTAAGCGGTGGATCATAAGAAGAATGTTATTCATTAAGAGTGTGCATTAAATGGGTCCTTAAAAAGTCAGTTTAAGAGAGCTGTCTCAAATGTGATGACTGAAAAACATGCTGAGAACTTTAAAGGCTCACCTTTGACCGTTACCAACACGGCACTGTAGGTCTGCCCAGCCATATTAGTTGCATTGCAGGTATAGAGACCGTTGTCACTCTGCTTGCAATAGAGGATCTTAAGGATGAAGTTCTCGGCTTGGTCCTCATAAATGACGTGCCTACGGCCCTCGCTGATGTTTGTCCCATCCTTCCTCCAGATAATATGTGGCTTGGGGTGACCCGTCACAAAGCAGCTGAGTTTGGCATGCTTGCCCTCTGTCACTGTGCAGGTACGAGTAAATACACCTTTAGGAAGCTTCGCAAGAGCAGATGCTCTCAGCTCATGCTCCAGATTGTATGAACTCAATGAATCTATCATGTTAGCTGTGGAGGTGGAAGAAACCGAGGTGCTGCTTTCCTCAGTGCGATAGATGGAGATGTCTTTCTTCATTTCCTCCTTGCGCTTTTGCAGGTGAGAGAGAAGGGAGGTGGGCTTGTCTCCGGCTATATGACGAGCATCCTGAGCATCCACAGCCAGAGTCGCAGCAGTATGGGCACGGCCCACAGAGTTCTGGGCTCTGCAAGTGTACGTGCCGCTGTCCAAGTTCCGAACGCTTTGGATCTTTAGGGTGCTGCTGTCACTGTCAGAGACTATCTTGATGCGGTTAGTCTCCCCAAGGTAGCGCCCGTCTTTCTCCCAGTCAAAGTTGGCCTCAGGGTGAGCTGCGACGCGGCAGAGGAACACGACATCGCCTCCTAAAGCCACACGCGTGGAAGTGGGTTTCACCATGAAAACAGGGGCTCTTTGAGATATCTCCGACGGCAGGGCCACTTTGAGAGTCACAGCAGCGTAAGCTTCCCCGACATTGTTTTTGGCTCGACACATGTACTGTCCACTGTCGTCAAGCGTTAGGTCGTAGATGGTCAGGCGGTACACATCTCCATCCTCCACGGTCTTAAAGCGGCCCCCAGAGGTCAGCTTGAGCTTCTCTTTTTCCCAGGTAATCAGCGGGGTGGGGCTGCCCACAATCGTGCAGCTGAGTGTGGCATCCTTCCCTACACACACTGAGAATGCCTTTGGACGGGTGAGAAACCTAGGCGCTCCTCCAAAAAAGCTTTGATCCATTGTTCGTTCCTGTGTCAAAGGAAATAGACAGATAACAGCATGCATTGTAATTATAGGCACCCCTCAAAATTCAACTTTTAAAACAGATATACAAACATTTTGTTTGTCTCATCAAACTATTGATAGCAGAAAAAAAATGTAGATTGATGTAAGTTTCTCCAATAATCAACATCCCTATGAAGCCATCACAAGAAGTCTGAAGGGAAAAAGGATTCAATTATTTCATTAATTGATTCAAGAGATGAAGAGGGGCATGTCTTAACAGTTTGGACACCAAAAGTAAAGTCAAAGAAAAGTGTACAACCTTTTGAAATTGCGTGAATGAGCGTGTTATGCTTAATAAAAAGAGGCTCTAACAGACCTCAAGATTACAAGACGTTTATGTTGAAGACCGAGGATATGGCCAAAACATGGTGATGGAGGCACTTCGGGGTACCGTGGCGGTCTCAGAGGTGATGATATCAATATCACATAAATAATAATACACACGCAAGAAACATTATGAATGAGCACTGCAAATGTGTTTTGACAAAGAAGACAGAAAACAGGACATCTGGTTAAAAACCGGATTATTTGAGTCACCTTTTATGAAACCTAAATAGTTTAAAATGGAAAACTAAAGTCTAATTTCATGTGATCATTTCACAAAGCCCCTCATAATGACCTGTAATTGCAGACCGATTTGAACACAACAGGATTATTGGATAGCAACTGACTCTAATCCAGGTACTGACTCTATGGGGATTAAAGAAATATTTCGAATAAAGAAATGTACAAATATACTAAATAAATCAATTGAGTACTGTGAAATTAAACATGATTTCTGCTTGAACTCCACAATCATTCAGTGCATTTTTTTTAAATGCCATTAATTAGGACTCAGACTGGCAAATCTACGGCTGGCAGTCACAGTATCCGGGTGCACGCCTCCGCCTTGACTCCACATTCTTTCATCAAGTCACCCTGTAATGGGCCGGAGCCTGTTCAAAGCGGAGGCGGTTTAATAGCACAATAACAAAGGAATTCCCCTGTAACAAGGTCATATAGATTGGACATACGCCTTTCAGAGAGTGACATTTGCCAGCTTTGTCACCTCAGTCGCTCGGACTGCCCGTCCCAAAAATAACCTCAGCTGTCAGAGCCCGTCTCTGTCCATTGCCATTTGTAGAAGCGAAGGGCCGTCTGATAAAGCGCCTTCCTCGGAAACATAGCTTTATTTCCGGCGCCGTCTGATTTTTATCAGCTAGAGAAGTTTCCAGAAAGTTATTCTTACATTTAATACTAACAGAACACTCTGCTGAGAAGAACTAACCGGAGAAAATCAAACGAAGTAATTAGTTTGATTGATTAAACCCGTGGTTAATTAACCCAAAGCTATTCGGTTCTGTTATCGGTCACAGACGGCAAAGTGAGGGAACTAATAAAGAACACAACGTTTTTGCAGAAGTCACAGTAAAAAAAAAACTAATAAAACTGTTTAACTTTGAGTGTAGCAATACATTAAACGTTGCTGCCATGGTGGTGCCTACTTTAATCACCTTGAGTCGTCCGCCGCCCAGGTAAAACGGCCGTTTAAATCACGTGACAGTGACCTGACCGTTCAGATCTCAAGATGACGGACCCAGTCCCGTATCACTTCATGGAAGTCCCGCCAGAAAAAGGCCTTCTTTTCTGCGCAAAGTATCCGAAAAATGATTGTAAATCCAGGATGATGGAACATCCCCCAGTCTCCTGTGGTGGGCGGTTGACTAGACTTATTTTTCCTTTCTTCTCCTGTGGCTCATGATGCCACATAGCTGACGTGCCTACTTCTGCGCAGCCTCCTTTCCAAAATAGACCTGTCATTCGCTGTGAAGATAGAGGAGAGCCTGTTTGAGACCAGGCAATGAGAGCGCCCAGGCCTGGCCTCTGCTGGGGTCCAGGCTGCAGACGACACTCCATAACAAATAAACAAAGCATAACTTACTACCCCAAATGTGATCAGAGCACGGCGTGTTTTGAGCCAGTATTTCAGAGGATTTGATAGGTATCAATCTCTCAATTTGAAATTGTTTCTAACTTTGTAAGTCTATTTGCTGGCTTTGCCTCCGTTGAATTCACTTGTCCAACTGAAAACTTACCATACAGACACAAAAACTTGTTTTCTATGTTTGAATATTGGCCAAGATGTATAACATTTGTCTTAGTGTCTTATCAACAACATTTGATAAGAACTGGCTTTATTTGATAGCATGCCATAATAGAATTCAATAGAAGCAGCTTATAATCACATTTGATATTGCAACTCACATCTGAACTTCATCAAGTGCAATTACTTTTTATGTTGCTGCCCTAAAATAAACAAACATACATAGGTGTAGATTTACAGCTGCATATATCAAAATGTAGTCAATATGAAATTGGAAATACATATGATGCAATCAAACTTTGAATTTTTCAAATATGACCGTAAGGGTTATCACTGTTATCATGATCTGTCATTCATATCTGCCCAAATAGATAAATGGGTAAATGTTGTCAATGCTGGAAAATGTTGTTTTAGTCTGAATATAATGCATAACAAACTGTTCTAATGGGTTAAACCTATCGTTGACTGGTGTTAAAATTCGCTCATCAGGTAGATTTAAGCTTCACAGTTTCACAGAATTTATGAAAAGATGTCAACAAGAAGTGTATATTCCTGCAAGTGTAAATCTCCCATCTGAAAGTCAATCTCTTGCCACCTCTATGTGTAGGCCATATAATGAAGTTTTGTCTCAGCTTTCCACGCTGCGTAATGAGAGCTGAGCTTCGGAAGGTTAAATGTGAAAATAATTTACAAGCTGCTTCTCTTGAGCAACAATTTCACTCAAGGACCCCGCCAACGCATCACAAATGCCATTCACACCATGGACATGGTTGTACCAGTAATTTTGAATTAAACCCAGGTCACTCTGAGCATTTCTGTTACAAGATTCAAAGCAATGACAAACACGGTTGACAGTTTTCCCATAGTCTTCCAATTCTTCATCCACCACTTCCTGAACACAGGGAGGAAATAAATCTTTATCCAACCATAAGTCACATCCCTCATGTCAGTCAGATTTATTAGTTTTGACTGTTATTTAATAGATTGATACACTGTTGTATAAAATGTACACAATGCATGAATGGGCTGCAGGGGTGACTGAAGTAGAACTTGAGCTGGTGGCAGTCCGTGCTGTTCTGTACCCACCATTGTGACAGCTGCTTTTCCCTGAGCATCAGGTCCATAATCAAATCATGACCTCATATTGTGCAATTGCACCTTAAATCCGGCAAAACTCTATTGTATCCTTCCTGACATGCTCAGAATAATGGAAACACTTGATGTAGAATGATTTAGCTAATTTAAGCTGGAAGAGAAATAACTCGCTGATTATGCCAACAAAGTTGTAATTATGGTTCCTGGCTGATGATTTTTGCCTCCAATTACTACAAGCTATCTATAGTCGAGACCAGATCCTTTGGTCCCTATTCTTTGGCTTCCGTAGTTTTTTCTTAGTCTTACAGTGTGGGCTTTCCCCCGGCACCAGTGACTGACAGCAGCAGGTCGCCTGGACCCTGATTTAAACTTCCCGAAACTCTAGCAGACAGTAATCTACTGTTGCAGCTTATCTCGGTCTCATCCTGTCCTGGCTACTGTGCTTGGTTTCTACACCCATGAAAAACTACAGGAATGGATATTTAACTCTTTTTTTTTTTGCTGTGTGCTATTAATTCCAAAACCATTCATGCATTCATGACATGGAACTTTTCTTTTACACAAACCAGAATTCCCCCACTCATCAGCTAGTTTTTCTCTTTTCTAAATTTCTTATTGCTCGATCAGTTTTCAGTCGGGCCACATTGAGTTGTATTCATATCCCCTGGTAATAGCTTTAAATTCTTGTTTTGCTAGTTACTCAGATGAGACTATTTCCATAAAATAATGCAATGTATAATCATCACTCTTGGCCAAGTTAGCATCCACCTGACCTCCACGCCATTTCAAAAGTAAGGTCATAGTTGTATCATGTTCAACGCTGTAATTGCACGCCTGTTACCTTAAGAACATTTGAATAGCACATGACAAATGATACAAATGTTGTTTATGCCAGAGGCAGAATAATACATGAGCACTAGGTGGAGCACAAGCCCACATACCACCTAACAAATTATCCAGCGGGAGATCCATGGCATAAATGAGCAACTTGAGATAAAAGTAGGTGAGAAGAAGAAGCACATTGCTGTTTATTTAGATTGCCATCATAATCTAGAGAGTTGTTCATAAAAAATGCCAAACACACATATCTTGAAATGTATCCCCAATCAGATCCATTTACCCATGAGAGTGTTTTTTAATCAGTCAGTCCTAACTCTTTCAGCTACAATATTGTGAGATGAATCAACATGTTAAAGTAGAGATTTGTTGAAAAGGTAAAGAAGACAAAAACAGGATATAGCACATCTTCTATCAATTAACTCTTTTCTAAAAACCTGCTTTATTCAGTTCAGTGTCACTTGAAGTTGTGAATTATACTTGGAATACCATGCTTGTGGCAAATACACAATATTTGCTTTACCAAGGAAGGTTAACAACATAAGTCTACTTATGTTCTAATTAGGTTGATTAAATAGTCTACAAAATTCTACCAAAGATGCACAAGCACTGCTTACTTGTTTATGGTGAAACAAATCAGTCATGATCAGTCATGATCAATCTCATATCTAATAAGGTCGGGAAAAGAATAGGCTGGAATATATTTACCGACTTTAAAGTTCTTTCCTCTTTCAACAGGATAAGTATGGAGAATAGCTACAGAAAAGCAAAACACACCAATATAATTATTGAATTTGTTTTTATTTCAAATAAACGTGACATAACCAACCTCACAACAAATGATTAAATACACTCAAAATAAGATTTTTATTTGCTTCTCTATTTCTCTTCTATAGTCACGCACAGAAAACAACAGATATAAAGCTGTGCCGAAAAAAAAAACTTCTTTTGGCATGTTTCATCTCTCTGCTGTCTTTACAGGACAAAACAAACTGAACTTTGTAAGAAAAAAAAAAAACATGCCTGAAAACATATTCACCTACTCAGGGTGAAAACTTAGCACCTTGTTCCAGTCACTGAGATTCTTGGACTGGTGTGTAGTAGATAAGAAAAACGACAGTATGGTGAGAGGTGTGGCCACGATGACGCTGCAGTTTGCCTCACAAATTACAAGGCAAACCTCTTTGAGTTGCTGATACTGCCATCCCAAACACCCTGACAACAAGCGCTGTGCTGCTGGATACAAAAGACTCACGCCAGTTAGTGACTCATCTTACACGCCAAAACATACCTGATGCTATTTACATTAAAGACTCGCCAATCAAAAAAGAACTCTACGTCGTTGTTGTTGTCCTGCTAAATTGACAAAAAGTCGATGTGATGGTTTAGACGAAGTGGCTTCTACAAAAGCAAATACTTATCCTTAATACTAAGGCACTGCTTCTAATCAAATAACTAACATGAAACGGCACGCTGGGGTTTTTTGTATGGAGACTGAGAAAACTAAAGCTGGCCTCCAGTGTCTCTATAACATAGCATGTCAATGAATGTGAAATATACACAAATAGACGGTAACAACGAAGCCTACGTGAGCATAGGTGTGACAGAGAATCCTCCCATGCAGGGTGAGCTTAGAGTGATCCAGAGGTAAGAAAGATCTCATGTGATTGGCCACAGTGCTTTCCTTTGTGGTCCGGCATGGATGACGACAATACATTACATGCTGATGCTTACGTAACAAACACTGTGAACAGTCAGAATGTATCCTGAAAGTACACACTATCCTCTCAAACTCATGCAAACTTTGTATACAGATGCATAACAAAAAGAAAATAAACTGCTCTAGGTCAGTGCAAAGAAATCTGAGCTCGTGTTAGCATAGTTGCACCTTCATAGACACATGTACAGTCTCAACTAAGAGTTGAAAAGCCATTAAACATACGAGTAAGTTATGGTGCACGTACAGCCTATGAGGTCCTGCTAAAGTGGATTGGGTTTTAAACTTTTAGCTGACTGCAGTCGAGTGTTGGAGGTAACAGAAAAGGTGTGACTCACATTTAACATCATGGGGCGGGGCTTATCTTGTTTTTTAAAACATCTAAACAACGCCGGATCTTTTATTTTTTTTATAGATCAATCAGATTAGAAGCTTCTTTAATTTTTGATTATTTGGTCAAAAAAGCCAAAATATTTTCTTAAATAAATAATACTATATCCTTTTATTAGTTAAATATGATGAGATAGGCGGATAATAAATATTTCTAAAGCTAATAATCAATTCTGCCTTGGGAGAGGCTTTGATTCTCCTCTGTAAGAACAAAATCTGGGGGAACTGCTGTCGGGAACATTAAAAATAATGATAGTAATATCAAAAAGAAGCAGAGAAGTTGCAGAGAGAACATCACACACACTAAAATCAGCCCTTTTGATAAAATTTGGAAGAAAATAAAATCACAACAAAGATTCGTAAAAGCTTTACCACCCTGTATTAAATAAAAACAAACAAACAAAAAAAAACATAGTAAGTCTGCCACAATGCTCAAACTTAACAGCTAGGCATACAATAAGGACAGAGAATGAAGTGGTTTCCATTTACACAAACACCCAAAATCAAAATGCAGTTCAGATGTCCACATATCGAAACATTTACACCACTGAGGTACTGACTGGCATATTCATTTATGTGAACTTGGGTTCAGCTTAACAGACTCAACAGGCATCTTCTGCCAGCATTTGGATTTGGATGGTAAGAGTACTGGATGTTCATTTCAGATCTGTCATTAAGGAAGAGTGAAAGTTTGATTCATCAGCTGCAGAAATAGTAATACTGAACGCAACCTGTGTTTAGGAGCACTACACACAATTAGCAGCATCAGAGCATGTGCATGCCAGGTCAGAAGAAGTTTTACATCATCTTATCAAGACCCAGAGTGGGCTTTGTCCACACACTCATGGTGTCGTAGTAGTACGGCTACGGTAAAGTCAGCTTTACATCATATAAATACTTGGTATCTTTTTTTCTTTCTTTTTTTTTGAAGAATTAGGATCTGGTATTAAAAAAAGTGACCTTTTAAAGGACACGTAAGATGCAAAAAATGTATTTACAAAGGTCAAAGAGCACAGGCTGTGTTATTGTGTTTTTTTTTAGATGATCTGCACAAGCAGCACAGATATATTTTATAGTCTTTGTGATGTAGCATAGATCAAGACACACCTCAGCTGAAAACTCACTGAATAACCTGGTGATGCACAGAGGCACAGCAGCAGCAGAGCCGGATGTACTTTGCAATAAAACTGCTCAGAACCACCGTCACACAGTGATCCAATAAATACACTACACTGTCCATCTATCTATCTATCATATGGGCTTTATATGCTGCTTGTACACACTGATGACAAAATGGATGGAAGACTTATGGTTTCCCTGATGCCATAGTCTGCCTGGGATGAGGCGAGAAGGTGCAAAGACAGTGGTTATTTATCAATGAGTCCTTCCAACAACAAATGCCGACTGGTGGTTTAACGGTCCGTGCTAAACTTTCCACGATGATCATCTAAGGCCACAATGTTCATTGAAGAAAGGAAAATGTAAACGCTATAGAAAAGAAAGAAAGGGGAGATAATTGTCATGGCACTGAATCTTGAAAGGGCAAAAGGACATTTTAAGTGGCATCGTTTTAAGAAAATTCCAGGCTTAAAATAAAAATAAATACCTTATGATAAAGGCACTTCAGCATGTATTCTCAGTGCCCTGTTGTGGAGTAGATCCACTTATAACTTCCTGCTCATCCACATTCTCCTCTTCTTCTTCCTTCCAGCCATCGAGCTGAACAGGGGTGGGCATGGAAATGCTGGTACCATGGCCACTGTGGCTCTGGAAACCTGGAAGAAATAGACAGAATGAATCTATTCTCATTTTGCCCTATCTTCATTTAATCAGTTCATGGACTTCCTTCTGATACTAAAGAAAAAAGGCCTGAAACAATAACCACAAAAAAAAAGAATTAATAAAGTACTACCACTCTGACAACAGACAGCACACAAGATCCTTATTTCCATTTACCAGTGTGTGTGTGCAGATCCCTCATCGGAATTGGATTCTGCCATTGCCCTGATGTCCTCTGCGGGTGGGAGCTCTGTTGGTGGAGCTGGAGAGAAAAACAGTTACCAGCATGGAACAGGAGCCGTACAGTCATGGAATACAGCAGATATTACTATCCTTTGAGTATCAACGATAAAATAACTCAGTATTATAAAAAGACACAACAATCAACAACTGTCAGTGGTGAAAAACAGTGTAACAACATTCAGTCTAGCTGTTGAGTGGCCAAAGGAGAAACACTAAGAACGTACCTCGTGCATGTAGATGGCATGAAGACTCATCTCTGCCGAGGCAAACTCTGAGTGCAGCGCATTTCTCCTCAGATGAGAACCACTGTTAGACATGCTGAAAAAGAAATGACGCATCAGTTACACTAGTCGTAGTCGATCTATGCAACAGTGAAAGATGTCCCGTCTCAAAATACCTGTCCATGAGGGTGCGATCGCTGCGGAACATGGCGGTCTCCGGATGGCCAGAGGAGCGCAGGAGGCTGTGCGAGCGGCCTCTGCTGGCATGCGCCAGCTGGGAGGTGGAGAGAGAGGCCAGGACGCTGGCTGCGGCTGAAGCTGCGGTGCTTGGTGGGATAAAACGATGATCTCGTCCTTGGAGTCCAGACGCAGTCAGGATGGGGTGGGCCAGGACACTGGCTAAAAGATTGTCAGGCTAGAAACAACAACAGATAACATATAAGTGGAAATAAACTTGCATTACAGCTTTTTATAGGCATTTCTTTAAACGGAATTGACATTTTCTCTATTGGTAGTGTCTCGCTTCTAGATGACAAAATGTCCTTTGGAAGCGTGAATTCCCTGCATCTTACCCCGGTTCCAGACTCGTTTGACTGCAGCGAAGTGCAGAGAGGGGCCTCTGACAGCAGCAGCTGTGTGGAGGGGCCGCCCTGCGCGTCATGCTGCACCTTCTCCTTCAAGTGACTGATGAACACCGAGCTCTCTTGAGGTGGCTGCCAGTGGGGGTTCTTTATAGTGAAGTGCATGAGCGACAGCTCTGTCTTGCCGTTCTCGGCCTGTTGGTATATAGAGGCCTCTGTCTGGCCCTCTGACAGCCACTGCAAACATACAAAAATATGACATAACTAAAAACAACAAGACAAGAAATGCATGTAGGTTTGCAGCCATTTCAGAAAGCCTCTATCCAAGCCGCAGAACATCTCGGGTTCTTTCGTGCAAATGAAATAGGGCTTACTGTTGGGTTTCCGTGGCGTCTGATGTCCATCTGAGCAAAAGAACAGATGTCCCCGACGCCAACCACTTCCACGGTAAAGTTCCTGAAGAAGTCGATGATTTCTAAAGACTTGTTTCTCAGGATGAATATGAGGATAAATGGTGTGACAATGGGACTGAGCAATTCCTCCAGGATGAATACCTGAATGGCATACACAATATTTATTACAATCAATATTTCAACATATCCGTTTCCTAAATAAAATAGAAAAAACATAAATGAGCGGTCAAAACTGTATCACTACTTTTACCACATCACAAATATTATGGAATCACCAAACTTGGAGGATGTCTGTTCAGTTGTTAGGAAAAAAGAAAAGGAAATTATGACAGGGATAGTAATGGAAACAATTAAAGGGTTCTAAACTTCTTTAAGAGAATAGTTTAAGGGCTACTTCCATAATTTTTCTCTATCCAAAAAACATTTGCAAGAATGGATATATTTGAAAGTATTTGTATTTGAAAAACCCAGACTGTTCTATTTTTAAATGTGAAAGTATTATAAACATCCTCAAAGTATGTTAATTCTATCAGACTGTCATCTCAGAATTCACCACAACCTACTAAGGAATCTTCAAAATTTTTGCTCTACTCACGGCTTTGTACTGGAACAGCTGCGCCACTTCGTCACGGGTCTCGCTCTTGTTAGCGTTGCCCCTCCAGTGGTCCGGCATGTAGTGAATGTGTGCCAGCACGCACTGCAGCAGCTGCTCTGGACACCACACCATATGCTCGTCTGGGATAAAAGACCTGGCAGGTGACACGCACAACGTGTCAGAACCATCACACACCAAAGAAGTCATTTAAGGAAGCAGCATTCATCCATAAGGAAAAATGGGATGAGAGAGACAAGGGTGGGTACATATTCTTACGCTAATTGAAATATTGGGGAGCTTAATTTCCAATTAATAATAAAGAATAACAAAAATGATCAAACTTATAATAATCTAAATCTAATCTGACTCAAAATGAATGGTGACCACTTTTGAACAGTCTCTACAGTATAGTATACACTGTATGTAGTACATCAGGATGTAAACATTGGTGTGTTGAAAATGATCAACAATGCGCGTGAGGACTCACCTGGTGATGGTAATCACCACCCCCAGCACAGTGATGGCGGTGAGAATGTGCTGCACCGTCAGAACGTCCTCATCGTACACAGTCAGCGCGATGAGAACCGCCAGCACCGAGCCCGAGAAGAAGGCCACGTTCTTGGCCAGCACGGTGAGCAGCGGCGATGTGAAGGAGTTCATGTACTTGGACGTGGGCTTGTAGCCGCGGCCCAGTCGTCCGTGCAGCTCGTGGTCCAGCTCGTTGAAATGGCGCAGGTACAGGCGACCGTACAGGGACCAGCGGCGTGCGCCCAGACTGCCGGGCTCCCTGCGGATCACCTCTGTGTAGCTGAAGAACGCGTAGAGCACCTGCCACACCAGGATGAAGGGACACAGCAGTAAGTTGGCCAAACCAATCAGCAGGATGACCCTGCTGAGCTGCTGGGCGAGCTCCAGGCGGTTTCCGCTGCGCTTGTACTTTGGGTGCAGGTTCCACTTGTTCTGAAACAGAGAGCCAGGGCCCCAGAAAAGGATGAGCTCAAAATTGTACTTGAGGCCCTGGGTTAAGAACACCACGTCGCCCAGCAGGGGGAGCTGCAGCTGCACCGGCAGCAGGGATTTGTTTATCATGGCCACCATGTAGTTTTTAAACCGCAGGATGCGGTGATAAATGTCCAGTTCTGTCAGCTCTTTCTTGTGAATGCACATCTGCTGCTCTTTCTGTAGGCTGATGAGTCGGTCCTGGACCTCCTGCCATGTGAAGTTGCATAGTTCATCCTAGATGGAGTGGGTAGAAACACACAGTGGATGAAATTGCATGACAAATCCACCCAATCCACTTGGACTTGCATTGATTGTAATTTTTGCTGTAGTTTATGATGACACATAACCTACCATTCTGATCTTCAGTGCTTTGATGTAAAACTGCCTGATTTCCCAGTAGCTCAAAACGTTGCAAAAGACTTTAACAAGACGATAGATCCAGAAAACGGCTGCCATGATGAGAAGGAATATTATCCAGCTGTTTTCCTGAATCCTGAACAGAAATGCATCTCATATTAAAACATAGAACGCTGTCCAGATTGATTTGTCATTCACATACTGCATGTGTATCAGTGTATCTGTAACTGTTTCCTACAGCTGGACCATAAGTGTAATGGACGTTAAAGTGTTTCCAAAATTCAGTCTAATTTAAAGTCTGTAGTTCAGACTCACTATAAAATAACAAACATATTTTGTAAGTATCCAGTTGCACAAATGCAAACGTCCTACTTCTCTAAAAACATTGTAAGCTGGGTTTAATGTGATAATCAGACGGGGCCATGTTTAATTGTTAATCTTACAAGACGTTCTAATACATAGAACTCTTTTTTGAAAGTTTTTGATTAAGTGGCTTATTCAACCATTATGTGCCCTTGTATCAACAAGCATTTATTAAAATTGGTGCAACTGTACATTGCATAAAGTCTCAAATTAGGTTACTTTAAGAGAGAACCATTTATAAACCATTTATTCTGTTTCTAGAATGGATGAGTTTTAAAGCTGCTTTCAAAAGTGAAATTTGAGACAGTGTCTGAAGAGGACAGAGAGACTCCAAACTGTAGGACAAGCTGTTCCAAAATTAGAATTCCATGCTGTCGGACGTCAGTGACTTTTATATAAACAACTTCTGAGCCACAGTCAGAGTGGAGATCAAATTGATGAGAGGTGTTTGAGTAAAGCTGGAGTAAACAAGCTTAGTCTAGACCCTGCAGCACAGGTTTGGGTGGAGTGTGGTGGTGAGAAGGGAAGTGGTCCTTGTAGCAAGTTAGTAATAAGTTGTCAGCTTATTAGAATCTTAGTGGGCCTGCAGTACCACAACAACGCTATCAGTTACACCTTACGGTTTCTGAGCAGCATGCACAGACATCTTCGTCCAAGTGACCAGGAGTTACAGGAATGTTCCAGCTCCAAGCTGCCAATCTCAGGTTTAAATAAACAACAAACAAACATACTCCGTAGACCGAGGGAAAGACCTCTGAGCTTAAAATCGAATGCAAAATCAGCTAATCAATCTGAATACACTATAACTGGCTTTGGTGCCTTTAAAAAAAAATTGCATTCCTTTTTTCAAAACTGTCCATAAAACCATACCATTAGTGGTACTCCCCATCATGCACCAGAAAATTGTAATAAAACAACTATTTAGGATGCGTGGTGAATTTTCTTTTTGGGTATAATGTTCTAAACCTAAAATTAAAGAGCTATTTTCTTTTTTAAAACAACTCATCCTTGTTCAAATCAATTTGTTATCTTGGGTAAAGGTTTGAATTTCATGGTAATTAAAAAAACAATGCACATAGTTCGATCAAATGTCAACAGTTCACTCTCCCATCCTTGACTGGGCAGTCTGTAGCTATGGCAAATACGGTTCCAACCAAAATTTGAATCTCCTACTATTATAGAAACCACATTAGGTCAGTCAGTTGTAATAAGACAGACAGCAGAAGGCTCCCTGAAAGGCCAACTGTGATTATGACTCAGCATGAGAAGAAACCAAGTATGTAATCAGACTGGCTGAGATCAGACGTCTCTCTCAGATATGCCTTTCAGTTTTAATATTCATATATATGAAAAAAAAAAAAGAAATTTAAATTAAATAGTAAATTAGCTATAAAATTGGTACCTCTGGGTGCACTGCTGGGTTGGCAGGATGGCATCAGGCAGCGTGACTTTATTTCTGTCCAATGGATTCTGGCTTTGTCCGGTGTGATTGACAGCTCGATTGGCAAACAGGACATCGTACTCAACGCAGTTGACGAGGAACGTGGTAAATGTGACGACAAACAAAAACTGGCTGTAAAGATGACATGCAAGAAAAAAAAGTTACGTTTTATTCTTAATGAAAATAAAAAAAGCATTAGAAGAAAACAACAACTAAACAATGACTACAGTAAGTCATTCTGATGTGAATTTTGATTTATGATAGCATTGGGCTAATATCAACATCTGCCCTGTCACCATGTTCAGGCACTTGACCTGAAACCAATAACAAAGTTGACCTGCTGGCACCAACAACCACTTGCAGCACTGACATAGTGACCCTGCGAGGGAATTAGGGATAACAGAATAAACTGTTTGCTATTAGGGAGAGAACTGTTTCCCGTGAGAGTCACAGATGGCTGCTGTTGATAATATATAGGCCAGTTAGTTTCTGCTAAAGCTCTAGGCACAGTTAACTGTCATAACATGACAAACTACCTGCGTGATAAATGAAGCCCAAGCCTAACTGAATACAAGTTTCCTCTTTTAGTGCATTACTGTGTCATGATGATTCCTGCATGTGTCTGAAAAACTTACACAAGCTCGAAGAACTCTGTCAGAATCATGCAGGCAAAGCCATTCTTCTGATGGAAATGATAGATGTGAACAACATGGTTAAGGGAATATTTGATAATAATATTAATATTAACAATCAAATAAACAACAAATATATAAGAAAGACAGAAATTGAACTGTGGTAAAACAAAGCTGATAATGAGAACTTTTCAGTGCCCTAGGCTCAGTTTCATAATCTATCCATGGTAAACACAGGAAAATTCAATATTTTGAATCTCACAGTTTGGAAAAACTTTGTGTCAGCAATAAATTAACAAAAAGGATATCCTTGTGAAGAAGTTATCCAAGTTCTTGATATGGTGCCATGAATCTGTAACAAAATGAAAACATAAGGTCTTTACAAAACTCCCTTTGACACAGTTGAATCAAACATCGTCAGATGACCAAGGGGTTTTGGTGAATCAAGCGGTCACAGTGCTGATGGCCAGTTAAATCAGGGACTATCGTTCCGCTTAAGCTTTCTTATAATATATTTGTATACCTTTTAGGCTTTCAGGCACATGCACCAGTAAATCCTCCTCTCCTGGTGGTGAATCTTCCTCGAAGTCTTCAATTCTTTGATACTCCTGATATGCTTCAAAGTTAGCCATTGTTCTTCACATTCTTCAGTCACTCCAAACTGACGAGCTATTCGAACTAAATATGTTATAAAACGAATGCAGACTAACAGCCCCAGCTACATTCTGGAGCTACTCAGTAGCTAGGACAGTTCATATCAGGGTAGCAACAGCTAACAGTAGCTTGCTAACTTGCTAGTTTGGCGGACAGCTCTTGTGTAACACTGCACTTCTATGATGTCATGTAAAACCACACGAACGATATATACATTCTGTAAACGGAGCTTCTGTAAATGCTGCAATAACTGTTGGTTAAAACTATCCGAGCCAAATGTCTGGTAGCCGGCTAGCCTGTGGATGATTCAGCCTCTGGTGTAGTCAGGGTGACACGGTTTGTTTTGTTCCCCACTTGGTCCTCCCATCTGCCGATCTTTTATTTTCTTTCGTGCTCGCAGCGCCCCAACAGTCACCGGGGCTCGTTTAACACATTCGCTGGAAAATACCGCGCGTTACTCTTCAGTTCTTCGCTAAATATCCCAAAAATAAAATCCATCCATATGCTGCCATATGCGTGCTCAATGTTTTTGTCTTTCACAAACAAATGTCAACAAAACGACATTAACGTCACCTCCGATGAGCTCTTCGTCATTTCCGGTTACCAATTGTAGTTTTACATACAATTCCTCTAGAAGGCAAACTACTTAATGAGTTTCTCTCTAAAACATTAACACTAATTAATTAAAATGTGTAATTAAGTAATACAGTTGTTTTTTTCTATCCGGCGTTCAGTTCAAATCGTGGTCCACCTCGAATGCACCGTGGGTCAGTGTCAATATGGCGGCCCGCAGAGTGCCGTGGGATTACTGTACAGCTTAGCGATTATATGAAACTCTTGGGATATTAGTTAATGATACCGACACAAACATGCTTAGTTTGCTTTCTTGCAGGGCGCATATAGCCCATCCATCGCGGTCACTGTCGTTTTACTTGCGTTGCAATAAAACAGGAGACAAATGGAAGCTCTCTCGGTAGGTTAAAGTGACCGGTAGCTACTTTTGGCTAATGACAGCAGATTTACTCCAGTTGTATAAGATACATGTTGGGTAATGACACCAGTGTACCTGGCCCGACACAGCATGTTGACACAGGTGAAACGTGTCCGTGCATTTGATTTTATGATCAGGCTAAACTATCAGCCACAAGTTATAACTCAAAATTCTGAAAGATGATCAACATTACCTGAGTTCCTATGTCTTTTCAACTGTTGATTTCTAAAGATGATTTCAAATTATTGTATCAGTTACTCCATAATATCTCTTTGCTTTTTGATTCAATTGGTTTTACTTGACAACTACTTTGACAAAATAAACAGTGTTGTGCCCACATAACTGATTGCTGGTGAAACAACCACACTTCATTTTCCCGTTAAACGTAAAAGAGTGATACCACCGATCATTTTAAAGGGGAATTAGCTATGAAACATTATTCTCAGTTCTTTTAGAACTAACTCATATTGCTGAAAATTATTTTGTTTAAAACACTTGCAGGTTTGTTAAAAGACTTAGTTTTGATGATTGAAGATAATTATATTGATCAAAGCTCTAATTATATTAACATTCTGGTTTATGTCTAGGTGGTACACTTCTCGAGGGCCTCATGGGCACAGCTCTTCACAGCAGCCTGGCAAAGCTGTCAGCCATATCTGGAGTTTGGCTCAGAGAGTCGTTCTTCAGGCCTCTACCAGAACATCCAAATCCTCTGGCTTGAAGTACATCTTGGGACCAGCAGTCCTCACTGTCTCAGCACGCCTCTTTTGCCAAGTAGCCGGCTGCCAAGCAGATGTGAATAACAACACTCCATTTGAAGTTGCTGCTGAAGACCCGGTGCCTGAGTTTAAATGGCACATCCTGTGGGAGTTTGTCAAACCTCAGCTGTTCGCGCTCATCTGTGCTGTCGTGGTATGCTTTTAGAAAAAAAATTTGAAAGCAATGTCAGCAAAATATGGCACTAATGGAAGCCGGTTACATTGGTCATTTCTCCTTTCAGCTTGCTTTTGGTGCAGCCATCCTGAACATTGAAATCCCTCTAATGCTTGGGGATCTTGTGAATGTTGTGGCACGCCACCTCAGAGAACATACAGGGAATTATGTCAATGAGATCCGAGGACCTGCCCTCAAATTACTGGGAATGTATGCTATCCAAGTAAGTACAGATGTAGACATCTCTACCAGTGTGCCAAGCAGCTGCAACATATAAGGTCCGGATAAGAAAAAAAAAGCAGTACAACTGATGTCAAAATGTTACACTGTATGCAGTTAAAAATTGAATGACTAATATTTTAATGATGATTAATGAGTATATATCAAAACCACATGTTGTATTATGAGCCACATGTTGTACAAGGCATGTTCCCCCTTCTGTGAGTGTGTAAACTAGTCAGGGACTGTTTTTACAGATCAAACATGAACGTTATCACTCAAGCAAAATATGCTTGCAGCCGTAGAAATGTCAAATGGAAAATTGTCCAGCTATCCTTTTATTATTTTATTAATCATCTACTTTCTGCAGGGCCTGCTAACAAGTGGTTACATCATGCTGCTTTCGAGAGTTGGGGAGAGGGTAGCAGCGGACATGAGGAAAACCCTGTTTGCATCTTTGCTCAGGTAAATAATCCAAGCGTTTCTTCAGGGCGGAATAAGACCTAAGAAATTAAACAGCTCAGAGCTGCTCATATTTGCTCCCATTCCCGTGGTTTATGTTGTCCCTCTACTTCATCAGGCAAGATGTGGCTTTTTTTGATGCCAATAAAACCGGGCAGCTGGTAAATCGCTTGACTGCTGACATTCAGGAGTTCAAGTCATCCTTTAAATTGGTTATTTCCCAGGTAACACAAGCGTGAATGAGAAAGTCTGTTTCCAAGGTGATGCTGTTAAAACTAACTCCTTCTTTGTGTGTGTATTTACAGGGTCTACGGAGTATCACGCAAACATTGGGGTGTTTCATGTCCCTCTACGTCATCTCCCCAAAACTGACAGGGTTGACTGTGGTTGTCCTCCCATGTCTGGTGGGAGCGGGGGCTCTCATTGGCTCGCTCCTGCGCAAACTGTCTCGTTTGGCTCAAGAACAGGTGACACCCCAGTGTTTAATGAAGTATGATTTTGGAAAATCAGTGAAAAAATGTCATTCCTTTTCTATCTTGTCTAATTTCCCATTTAAATGTGATTTATCTTGTTCAAAAATCAAGGTTGCAAGAGCTACGGGAGTGGCCGATGAGGCACTGGGCAATGTGCGGACAGTGAAAGCTTTTGCCATGGAGGAACGAGAGCTCCAGTAAGTTTAAGCACTTCCATTAACCGTTTCAAACTTTCAGAGATTCCGTAAATGAGTGAATGATTTCCCCTCAGGTTGTATGCATACGAGGTTGACAAATCATGTGAAATGAATGAAAATCTTGGAGCTGGGATTGCCATTTTCCAGGGGCTGTCAAACATGGCCCTGAACTGTGAGTGTGATAACAGAGTGTTGGATTCAACATGAAACAGGCGGCCACTGTTCCTACGATTTTCTCTAATGCTGATGCTCTTCTGTTTGGCTGTTAACACAGGCATTGTCCTTGGAACTATTTTTGCTGGAGGGACTATGATTTCAAGCAATGAAATGTCTCCAGGAGACCTCATGTCCTTCTTGGTAGCGTCCCAGACTGTACAGAGGTAGAACACACAGCTTGTCCCGAAATGACTATTCTGCCTTACCGTTTACAGTTAAATGTCTTCATTCGTAAGCAGATGATCAAAGAATAATCACATTGTTCTCCTGCCCAGGTCTTTGGCTAGTATCTCCATCCTTTTCGGACAGGCGAGTAAAAGTTAAATATATTTACCATCTGGATTTATTCAAATATCTGAAATGTTATTTAATGAGAGAACAATCTCTCTCGCTCTCTTCACATTTACCACAGATGGTGAGAGGGATAAGCTCCGGGGCCCGGGTCTTTGAATACCTTTCTTTGCAGCCTACCATCCCCCTCTCTGCAGGAGGGCGCATCCCGTACCATTCTCTGATGGGCAGAGTTGACTTCATGAACATTTCATTTAGGTTTCTATCATCCTATTTGAAACTTTAACTATATAAGTAAAGACAAACACATCAGAGGATATTAAAATCCTTCTACATGTGTGTTTTACCATACAGCTATCCAACTAGACCTGGCCAGGAAATCTTGAAGAAGTTCACCTTAACACTGCCACCGTCTAAAACCATAGCCATTGTTGGAGAGTCTGGAGGAGGTAATCTTCTGTTGGTGATCGCTACATTAAGAATGTGTCGTGAACAGTCTGAAGGAGAGCTCATGGATTGTTCACCTATGCAGGAAAGTCCACGGTGGCGTGCTTGTTGGAGCGTTTTTATGATCCTACCAGCGGCGTGATCATGTTGGATGGGCTCGACATTCGAACCCTCGATTTGTCCTGGCTCAGGGGCCATGTCATTGGTTTTATTAATCAGGTAAACACCGTTCACTGTCTCCTTCGTGAAGCTTGGAAAATATTAACAGATTCGTAGTCAGTTAAATGGATGATGACTTGTTATTGGTGATTTTCATTGCATTTCATATTCACTTTATTTTACCATCACTATTCGTAGGAGCCGGTTTTGTTTGGATCTTCCATCATGGAGAACATCCGTTTTGGGAAGCCTGACGCGACAGACGCTGAGGTCATTAACGCAGCCAAACAAGCCAATGCTGACCGCTTCATTACAAGTTTCCCAGATGGCTATCACACCACGGTTGGTATGTGCTCTCATCGTAGCTTTCACTGCTGTTTAGGAAATGTGTTGCAAGCACACTCTAAGCTTCGGGTCCCCCCCCCAACTCCCCAACCCCCCCAGGTGAGCGAGGTGTGACATTGTCAGGTGGCCAGAAGCAGAGAATCGCTATTGCCCGTGCTTTGATCAAGAACCCCAGCATCCTGGTGCTGGATGAGGCCACCAGTGCTCTGGATGCGGAATCGGAGCGCGTGGTGCAGGAGGCTCTGGACAGAGCCACAAGGGGGCGCACTGTGCTCATCATCGCCCACAGACTGAGCACCATCCAAGGAGCTGACCTCATTTGTGTCATGAGCCACGGCCGCATTGTGGAGGTGAGGAGGTTGAGTATTCAGTGAAATGGAAGCAATCTTATCTCCAGTTAAGTGTTCGGGCTAATTTGTTTGAACAGCTTGCAAGTTCAAAGATGCACTTATAGAAGTGATTTAATTTGGTGAAGAGTAATTCAGACGAGCACATCATTCATCTCCATCATATTGCAATGACTGTGGGTTACATTTTCTTTTATCTAACAGCTTTGGTCTTTCTTTACAGGCCGGAACGCACTTGGAACTGCTGAGTAAAGGAGGTCTTTATTCTGATTTGATCCGCAGGCAAAGAGCAGAGGGGCAGAAATGAAATCATCAAACTTGTTTCAAGTGAATCATAGATATGTAATGATTAGTATTCATCAGATGAAAAATGCCAGATGTGCTGTGATATTACCAGTTCTTGTTTAGTTATGCAGGGGACTTAAAAGTTTGTGAATGGTATGTGTATGCACAAATGGACCAACTGGATCAATCTGTGACTATTTCGAACTACACTACTGTACAGTCTTTTTGCTCAAATTGAAATTTACCAGCATTGTCAGTTTTATTATGTATAAAACATTGTGATCTGTAATTAAAAGTAACTAAAGACAATTTTGATAAACGTATGTGTTTGTTTTTTCTTTTCATGGATGATGTTTTTATTTTGGAGATCTCGTGCTTGAATCACTGTTTAGCACCATCATCTTTTTTCATATTAAAGTGTGTATGATTAATAAGTGTAAAGCTGCTTTAAATTTCCATCTTCCTTGGTTTACAGTATTTTATATATGTAGATATGATCTTTAGATTACATAAAGTGTTATGTGCTTAAAACATAACACATTCTGTGTGTCTGTGTAACGTGACTGTTAAAACAACGTCTTCAGGCCGGGATATATTCAAAATTGATATTAGTTAACTGGATTAGGTTCTTGTTTTCTAAGTGGAACAAATGGAGGACGAAGATTAATTTCACTCTAAAGTAAAGTTTACACCATTGAACGGATAAAGTGGACCTTGTGGGAAGTGTTTAAGGAATCAAATTAGGTAGCACAGGCACTTTACAAGGATCCATTTGCAGATTTATATTTGATTTGAACATCTGCTTCCTTTATTAGCGAAGCAGCCTGAACAATTTAAATTGTTTAGATATAAGTCTGCCTAAAGGATTTCGCTTATACACACGTCAACTAAGACAGAGATTAGCAGAAAATTGCAAGGGATATTTACTCATATTTCTTGGGCATTTTTGTGGGATTTTCACAATCCAAATTTATATCAATATTTTTTTCATTTATTTTTTGGAGGGAAATATAATTTGACAACTTTTATTGCAAGATCCCTCAGAGGTAAAGACCTTTACACAGCTGGCAATTTAACAAGCTTTTAAAAACATCTCAATGAATAAACCTGTGTCTTGTCCAAATTTTCTTGCCTGTGAAACTATGCAGCTGGGGAGTCATGGACAAAGGAGATGCTGTCTCATTTATAAAAGATCCAACAAAGAGTGGATCATTCACCTTAAATATGTTGCATGCTTTGATTTCAATCAATGCCCAAATAATCCAGGGTGGGATTATTTTGGTCATTTATTCTATCCAGAATTATTTTGTAATTCCAGAATGATCTGGTGTCTCTAACACCTAAAAAGTCATTTGAAGCGAACCCCCCCTATATATACCTACATAACTATGCTTTATCTTTTTTTTCTCCTTTAATCTTAGCGGAAAATGTATTACATGTCGCTTAGGTTGAGGTGTGCGTTGTAGTTCTTCTTTAAGCCTTTAGGGGACCAAACAAGAAAAGCTTAGCTGCAGCAAACCGACGGGAAGCAGCAAGTGCAGATCCATTTAAGCTAACGCCTGTAGCTACCGTCCTGTCCTTTCCACCCCAGCCTGGGGTCTTTTTTTGGTCTCTAGTTTTCTGGCTGGCTTCATTGGCCAAACATGCAGAAATATGAGAAGCTTGAAAAAATTGGAGAGGGTAAGATTTCTGCTTTTTTTTTAATTGACAGCAACTAGCCGAAGCTAAGGCTAACGTAGCTTTTACATTAATGCAGTGCTTGCTAACGTCAGCCGGAATATGAGCATTAACTAATACCACAGTCAGTCGAATACATTGGGATTTCTGCAGCATTCACTTGCATGGTTTTATTGTTCTGTCAGTCTTTTATTCTTCTGGTAATCTTACTGACTGAATACAAGATAGTGAGGGGTCATTCAACTAGCTTGCATTGCTGTGCCATTCATCGCAACTTTGAACTGATAAAACTGAACCGTGTTTGTTTCGTAGGCACGTACGGGACTGTTTTCAAGGCTAAAAACAGAGAAACCCACGAAATTGTGGCTTTGAAAAGGGTCAGACTGGACGACGACGATGAGGTTTGTGAACAATGTTGGAGTGTTTACAACGAGCATGTTAGCTGGTTGCGGCTAAATCTCTCTCAACTCCATTTGTTTCAGGGGGTGCCAAGTTCTGCCCTGAGAGAAATTTGTCTCCTGAAGGAGCTAAAGCATAAAAACATTGTCAGGTCAGTTAGCTTTTTTTTATGTCAGTATCCTTAGATCCCTAAAGTGAACCAGTCATGACACATGTCTTTCCTCTCTTCTCCAGACTACACGATGTGTTGCACAGTGACAAGAAACTAACCTTGGTTTTTGAGTATTGCGATCAGGTGAGTTTCTCATTACACAATTATTCTGACCATAAAGAAACCTTGTGAGGCTAAAACTTTTCTTTTCTTCAGGATTTGAAGAAGTATTTTGATAGCTGCAATGGTGACTTAGATCCTGAAACTGTGAAGGTAAGGACAGTACATGTAATAACTAGATTGTTACATGGTTTTATTTAATGTGATCAGGTCAGTTACATCTTGAATATTTGCTCTTTTTCTCTGCAGTCTTTCATGTACCAACTGCTGAAAGGCCTCGCTTTCTGTCATAGTCGAAATGTGCTTCACAGAGATCTGAAGCCGCAGAATCTTCTTATTAACAGAGTGAGTGCCTAACGTGGACTTTGACTTGACATCTTGTGACCATTCTTTCCCCTCATGAGCAAATCTTACAGCTCAGTCTGTGCACCGTTCACCTTTTGTGGTGCTCGATTGAGGACTTCAGCTAAATATAGTGTTTTCTCATATTTTATGAAAAGGAATTCTCTTTTTTTTCCATTTATAGAACGGGGAATTGAAGCTTGCTGACTTTGGGCTGGCTCGAGCTTTTGGCATTCCTGTAAGGTGTTACTCAGCAGAGGTAGGTGGTACATGATTAACAAAGCGGGTTCTAAAGGCTCACTTCTAGTTAAAACCAAAAAGAAAAAGAAAAAGTGTGATCATTGGGAAATTATGCTTTTTTTGGCAGCTTCTTTGACTAATGACAAACCTAAGTAAGAGAACTGAAATATACTTTCACAGTCTTGAAACAAAGTAAATTCTAGTATGTACAGCAATTGCTCTCATGCTGTTTTGGGGATGACCAGAGATGACCTAAAAGCCTATATCTGAAATTAGAATGACGTCAGGTTCTGGAGCAATCTTCGTTTTTTACCTTCTTTACCCTATTTGTAGCTTCTCAGTCTCTGTACATGTTAAGGTCCTCCGCTTGTACGTCTGAAGATCAAAATTGAATTCTGTGATGTAGCCTGTAGAAGAAGACAGAGTTTGCAGCAGAAGTCAAGGTTCGATATATGTCGCTGCTGATATTACCAGAACAATAACAGAGAGAGCTCAGATAAATTTAGTGGTTCTGGTTGGTTGACCGAAGGACACAGTGAATCAATCTCCCAGGGTTCAGAAAGGTTGACTCACTTTGGTACCACTGAGGTGTAAATGCAGTAAACAGAAAACCTGGGAAGGGGTCACAGTAGTAGCACATGGAGTTTGAAATAAGCCCATTTCTAATGGTTCAGAAGTAAAAACTATTTCAGGGTGTGTGGATCCTCTTTTTCTATATGTGATTGTTTTTGGCTGTATTAGCATCACACTCCTCTCCTTAAAAAAAGTTTAACTAAAAAAGTTTGCTGCCAACAAGCAGAGGGTGTTTGAAAAGGGGCATATGTTATCAGCAGGCCAGTAATTAGGAATTATGGACAAGGTGACATAGGTTTCCACCCACACAGGGCTGAACAAGCTCTTTGTTTTAAATCTGTTTGTCGGCCTCTGAAAGTAATTACCAGGAGATGGATGTGACTGGTCGCTGTGACCCTAAAGTAAACGGGACAGGAATCGGTGTCAAACGCTGCTTTTATGTCGAGGGCCGAGGCACAATCTATATTTTCTAGTGTGCGTTGGTCTTTTAAAGCTTTTCTTGTCTCAATCAGGTTGTTTTTCAGAATTGTGTTCATTGCCTTTCTTTCTTTGTTTTCCTTACTTTTGCATAGTGGGGTTTACTTTTTCCATCCCTGGTTGTGGCAATTTGAGTAAGGTTGTGGAGTAAACTATCATGATTTATCACATGTAAGGTTGACCCTCAGACGTTAGCAGGGGTACCCCTTTGTGCCTCGATGTGCTGGAGAGGTTTAGGTTGAAGATCAGAGGCTGGTGCTTACCCATCTGTAAATGACATGGACCGTAATTGATGTTGATGAATAGAAGCAGTTTTAGTAAGAGTGTAAATCTTTCTTCTGGTAAAAATTTGAAATTTCTGCAGGTTGTCACATCATTTGCATCTGAATGGAATTATTTGTCTCGGTTGGAAGATTTCTGAAAATGCATCATATTTTATTCTAATACGGTGGGGTGTGCTTCACTGTCATTTCTCCACAGGTGGTGACGTTGTGGTACCGACCTCCAGATGTGCTGTTTGGTGCTAAACTTTACTCTACCTCTATTGACATGTGGTCGGCTGGGTGCATATTTGCAGGTTGGTTTGAAATAGTTGAGTTATTATTTTTGTTTGCTATTTGCATGTCGTTTTCTGTTCTGTTTTAAATGGAATGCTTTTTGTTACAATGAGAAAGTGCCAGTCTATCCATGTAAGTAGATAGGATTCCTATTCATTGTAGTAGTTGAATCCAAATCGTGTTCTATGTCTTGCAGCATGGCACGTGCCTAGCTTCAGATATTTTAATTTACTGAATAGCAATATCTGTACATATTTCACGCTCAACACAAATACCCCCGAACCAAAATCTTTAAGTCTGCACATCATCAGTGGAATTTGGGTGAATTATATGCCGAATAGGTATTTAAAGTTTACCATTATTTAGGCGATATGTAACCTATTCCACGTCTTTTACTCTGTTCATATACTCCTTGTGACATCGTCTAAACTCTTTCCAAAAGACTCTAGTGAATGAAAAGAGAGAGTTTTTTTTACAACTAAAAGCTCTTCAAACTCTTTTAGGGCTATAATGGGGAAATACAGCCAAAAGCATTCATTTGCATGCTTGGAGTACAAGATAAGAAATTTAAAAAAAGTCGGGTATGCATCAGTCATTATTTAAACTTTCTCCATTTGTGGCAGAAGAAATGAGCATGGCTTTGTTGGGACTTTGGCTGCATTGGTACTTGTAGATGTGGCCACAGAGAGAAGAACGGGCGAGCAGATGGTAACATTAGCCACATTTGCATCGCTTACAGATATTTTCCTCTTCCTTTGGGGTTCTCAGATGCCAGGAGAGCTCGTTTGATGCGTACCAAAGAGGCTGTGGTCCGCTCTGCTGCGACTTTTTGTCACTGGCAGAGGTAGCTTTAATAAGAGAATAACGACGGAAAACAGCCAGCAGAGGCTCGTTTGCAGTTAAGAAGAGCCTTAATCTTTGCTGAAACCCACAGTCTGTTTGCCAGCTGGGGGCAGTGCTTATTCTCTTTAGAAGTTGCAGTGGGCTGCAGACCAGCATGACTCATCCAGACAGATGTGGCCCAATGACACATATCTACGCTCAAATGCAATTAAAGATTTCACTTTCATTTGGTTTCTCGTTAGATAATAATAACGGATTCAAATGATCTTATCCTGTAATGTCCCCCTCAAAAGGTCTCATTTTGACATTCTCTTCTAATCCAGAGCTGGCTAACGCCGGGCGGCCGTTATTCCCCGGCAACGACGTGGATGACCAGTTGAAAAGAATCTTCAGATATCCTTTTTGACATAGATTCAACAAGTGTTGAACAGTATGAGGTCACTGATTTCAATAATGTGTGCACAGAAGTACTTAGTCTCTAAATATTTTTCATTAACCACATGCTACATTGTTGGGTACGCCAACTGAGGAACAGTGGCAGACAATGACTAAACTTCCTGATTACAAGGTAAATTCCTCTGTTTTATGCCCAGTTGGTAGAACTCAAACGTTATCTTACGTGAATCTCTAACTGATGGACCTTATTCCTGTAGCCATATCCCATGTATCCAGCCACCACCTCCCTGGTGAATGTGGTCCCCAAACTCAGCAGTACAGGACGGGATCTGCTGCAGGTATTTGGAAGCTCATCATCTTTTCTTTTCCTCTTTACCACTAAATACTTTCAGCAAAGTTCTGCTAGCAGGCAATTGATGTTGCTGTTTGCTCATTACATCTTTTCCTTTGATCTAAAACCAGAACCTGTTGAAGTGTAATCCTGTCCAGAGGATCTCAGCAGAAGAGGCCTTGCAGCACCCTTACTTTGCTGATTTCTGCCCTCCCTAAATGCTAAATTGCCTCTCACGGAGCCACAGCCAGAAGAATCAATCATCCCTGTCCCGATTTAGTTGTTAGGACGTACCCAAAAAAAGGCAAATCCTTCGTTCAGACTTAAATTCCCCCCTGCAGTTCATCGTGTTGTGCCTCTACATGGAACAAAGACCTAGTGGCTCTGCTGTGTTTTAGGCTGTTTTAAGTTGAAAGCAGTTTAATTTGGTGCACACACATCCAAGTTAATTGGCTCTATGGTGGATGGTTATTTCATAGAATACATTTTAGAATTAGGGATTTTGTTTCCATAAAAAAGCCTCTTTCCTACAAATAGGGAAATTAGCTTGATGTGTTTGTTAGTTTTGTTTTTGTTTTGTTTTTTGGGGTGGGGGGGTGGTTGAGGAGTTGATGGAGCTTTGCCCTCATTATCAGTGGTTACCTCATTTGACAAACTAATTTCAGATGCCTGAGTTTCAAAGTGCTTGCACATAGTTTCATCAGTTCCTGGCACGGGCTTTGTAATGCTCTGATCCCCTTTCCTTCTGGATTTTTTTGCAAATTACTTTTGCCCACTTCTAATTAATACGAGTCCTCACATATGCAAAGACGAGTGCTGTTGTCCGAATCCCAAACACAATTATTTAGATGGGAGAAAAAAACGCTGCATCAGCCAAGATCAACAAACCCTTTTATGAATGAGATTTCTGTGTTCAGCTCACATCAACATTTGCCCTCTTTTATGTTAATTTGTTCATACCCATTATCTTAAGTACTATAATTCAATACTTATCAAATAGAAACATGTTTTTTTTAAGAACTCCTATAGTTGGCATGTTTATGTCTTTCAAAAAAGGTCCTCAACAGGACCTTTGACATAGATGCTGGTCCCTCTTAAATGATCCAAAATGGAGTTTCTCAACAGTAGTTTGACACACCCACATAGTGCAGTTGGGAGTTCAATTATGGCTGCCTTTGTATCCTTTCAACTAAATTGAAATGGGCCTGAAGCACTGCTGTGGAGCTCTGTCTATTTGCACCTCTTTGTAAGTTTAGGTGACAGCTAAACCCATCACATATTGTGACAGAGCCGGCCCATTAAGGCTCTGTGTCAATCCCCAGTTGTTTTAAGCCTTCCCAGAGAGACATTCAGCTCTAATAAAACCGTTGCTTTTGTTACCGCAGCCTCATCCGACAGAATGAAAAATAAAAAAAACACCACATCTGCATGATGAATCTGGTCCTACTCGGATACACGGTGATGTGACACAGTCAAAGCGAGAAGCAGCACAATGTCCTGACAGTGTCACACGGACATTCTTTTGTCAGTAACAGTTCTACAAGCTTACGTATAGAAAAGAAAAAAGGTCTGGCAGTAACCCTGGCTCCAGCCTTTCAGTGGGAGATCTTCAGTTAAACTCCATCGTCCTCTCAGCACAAACTCCTGATTGTCTATCTGGCTGTTACACATGTTGCAGATAAGAAGGTCTTGGTTTTCCCTTCTATGACTCCTGTGAAACCACAAACCTATTGAGATGAATCAGTGGGAAAAAGGATGCAGTAACTCCTAGCTATTTTTCTGCTTCAATCACACACTTTCACCGTTTCTGATGTCGCAGAAGTCTTAGACCCTTCACAAGATTGTATAATAGCGTGGGAAGCTTATTCATATTTGTCTTCTTGTCGAGCTTTTTATTTCCGATTTTATATTCCCTTTGAGCACTTTGTTACTTATAGTTTTATTTTAAATTGTGTAGTCATCAGTGTATGAAATTTTGAACACTTGCAGCCAGTTTTCAGCAAATGGGCCAATGTACACACACACATATATATATATACATGTTCATGACCAGTGGACCATTGAATACAACATTTTGTTGTCATTGTTATCATTTTGTTTTCTAAAATACTTTTGTAAATGCAAGAAGTGAAAAAGAATTCATACAATTCACTGATGATCTGTATTTTCATACCATGACTGTTTTGCACCATTAACCATTTTTTTCATTTTGTAACTTGTTATATTAACATGGTTTGCAGTGTTTCATGCTTATCCCATCAGAAGCCAACAAAGCGAGTAGCGTCGGAAGAAGCTGTCTTGTGAGGGAAGGGATTTCTTTTCACTTAACTGGTGTGACACAAGATAATGAATGCATGTATTTATTAAGGATGGAATGCCTGTCTTTTTTTCTTTTTTTTAAATTAAATGTAGCGTAATTTTATTTTTGGCGCTGAAAACACTTTCAGTTGATTCTCAGAACTGTCGCTTTTAACTGGCTTTTTGTAGGATTTGAAATGTTTGAAAGATGTGGCGTGTGGAATAAGTTATGATGAAAAAGCACTGAGAAATTGCTTTTAGGATTTCATTGTGCTCCGTCATCCCAGCAACAATGACATTTTATTTTATACAGCTTTTTAAATCATAATTTGAATGAAGAGTGGATCTTGCACTTTTTTTTTTTTTTGCTTGTATTTTTTGCTTCGGTTTGTAGAACTTATGTGTTCACAAATGTTGTGACTGTATATTTCAGCCAGTAAGACTTAGTTATATAGTAAAGTCATCATCAATACATATTTGCTTTTCTCTGAGAAATAGTTTGCAGAGTTTTTATTCAATCCTGTCAAACATGATTCATGTTTAAATGTCTACAGCATCATTACAAATGGTTTCAAAGTCACTAAATACACCTGCTTCAGTACTGCAGTTTTTAGGTACTTCATTAAGTAAGGTGTTACAATACCTAAACATCTACTCCACTAGATATCAGAGGCACATTTGTCAACATGTTTTTACAACAAAATGTTCCATTAAAAAGTCATACTAAAATCTGTGATTCTGCCCATTCAATAACAATTTAAAGATATTAATACATGAGACGAGTTTTACTACCTCACATCGCTGGCTGTAGCGAAGACTAAAGTATACACCACAAACCCATTTAATATTGCCCAACAGTATGATTTATGACTGACTGCATTGTAAAGTTTGTATTAACTATTTAATATTCATTTCAGATTTAAAATCACATATCTACAATAAAATGGACACAGAGCATGTAGAGCCAGATGAAGCAACTGCAGTTCTCCAGATCTGCAGGCGTGTTTTGGAGAAAATCACATTACCCATAAGTCTTCAGGTCAAATTGAATTTATTTTAAACTCCCCTGTAGTTAAGCAAACCATGCTAAGAGAGAAGTTTTTGTGAGTGTGTCGGATACATCCACATGAAGATGAGGAGATGACCATTTTGATTCATCTGACTCCAGAAATACACTTTGGACAATACAAAGTGAATAGCATCGCTATCGTTACACTGATAGACCAGAGATAATAGGAGTACATAATGGACCATGCAAGGAGGAAAGTGAACAATGTTCTGTCTTTTTAAATATTTTTTATTTGAAGAATAAAGTAGTTGAAATCCATGGTTTGGGTGATATCTAGTATACTTGCTTCTACTTGGCCATAGCTTTGCAGTAAATATCAAAGTCTTGTAAATGAGTATAAATAGTCAGTAATAAGTTTCTGCCAGCTCAGGTACACTCTGCTGTTCTATGACGGGGGAGAAAAGGGAGAGGAGAAGAGAGGTAAAGACCAAGGACATTCTCGCAAAGCCGTCATCTCAACAATTTGTTGGATCATTTTTCTAATTGTTTATCCAACATGACTCCACTCAAAGCCAGCAAGGCCACACAGCATCATAGTGTAACGTGAATTGGCATCTGTGTCCTCCGCGTGAATGATGATATTTAATATACAAAAGTGATATTGCACATCAGGGCTGCAGCTGGCAGCTGTTCAGCCTAAATCCAATCCATCTGTGATACATCATGAAAATGGAAACCCTAAATCTTTCTCTTTTTTTCACCTAAGTCTGATTACAGTGGCTTTTGGTTCAGGGCATTTACTGTTCATGACATAACACCAATGATTTTTATACCCCCCCCGCCCACTTCTCTGGCTTAGCTCTCATTCCTGACTATATTGTTAGTTTGGGCATATCAAGTGTAACAGTAGTTAAAAGCATAGTTTAAACTACAGCCACAGAAGGCAGTCACAACCATAGACATTTAGTCGCTGGCTTTCAAGTGATGGCTGAGCTCCAAGGGTTTGTGCTTGACGTCAACAGTCATCGAACAACACAGACAACAGAATCGTGTTTGGAACACATCTTGAGTGACTATGTTATATTTAAAAGTTTTACATAAAAAAGGAAGAGACTGTTCTCTGACTTTCTGGCAAATAGTACCTCCAAGTCTATTATTGTAATGTTGAGGATTTAAACAACACAGTGTTAATAAGAGAGGAAGTAGACTGACACATAGTTTAGAAGAAATGTTATGTACGTTCGATGGTTAAATATAGTTTATTACACTTGATCATTGATACATCACAAACTATTATTTGTGACTCATTACGTATTCTGTAATAATATAAATAATGATATTTGAATACAGTGGTGAAATTGTACAATGCATTTCTTATTAATTAACCAAACTGAATGGTGCTGAGATGCATGGTCTGTATTTTGAGAAAAACTCCTCATTCCAAAAGCTTTCAGTAATCAATTTGCAATTCCCAAAAAGACACTTAAGGGTCACTGTAATGATCAATTGTAAGAACTAATGAATTTATGTGTATATATATATATTCATATCTGAAAAATGCTTCATGTGAACAGCGTGGAATTTCGTCATGGCATTTGATCACAGGTATTTACACGTTTCTGCCAAGTTTAGGAGCAAACTTCTTTTTTTTTAGAAACTCTAGTAAGAGAATAGATTACTATCACAGGGGATTGTGCCGAGAAATACTGTGGTGAAGAAGAACTCTATGCATTGAAGTAATTCATGTGCAAAAGAAGTCAACAAAAATGGGAGCAATTTTTGCATGTCTGCAACTCAAATGTTATGAACCCATTTAATCGACAAAACTTTTTGTATGGACATGACCAGCAGACACCATCTTCCATTTCCTGGCAGGCTGAATAGAATATTCTATCACCCCTAAATAGAGTAAATAATGTGTGTGTGTGTGTGTGTCTGTTTGCAGTTATATATGACCTTATTTGTGTTTGAGGGCATCTTTAACTACAGCCAGTGGGTAGTTTTACACGGACATAACACTTAACAGTGTCATAAATGCTATCATTGGAAGGTACATTTTTGTTGGCTGCATGCCTCCAAACTTATTTTGACTGGAAGGACTTAGCCAAACTTCATTCATAATGCAGTTTTTTAAAAAAGGCTTGTGTACTTTAAAGTATGCACATTATTTATCTGAGATGTCTGAAGTTAAAGTCCACTTAAATGTTGATCTAGCTCAACTCTTGCACTTTGGGAGAGCCAAAGACTGAAAAAAACTAATTAATTGAGTGATTCAGATTTGCAGATGATGTCAATGTAACACTCTTTGCTTGAATTAGAGATGCCATTAAGTCAAACAAACTATGCTTTACTTACTGTACTGCATAAGACTGTTCATTTATGTTGTTCACTTAATTTCCAAAAGATCCAGAGTCTTTCTATCAGGACTCAAATAACCTGATGCTGCAATGTGTCAGTTATTTACCTAACAGCGTCTTTTCATCTCAAATGGTAGGGAGAAAATAAATATTACGTCTGTGTATCAAAGTAAAGAAAGAAAGTACACAATGACGTTTTATCAGTCTCAGAAATGGAAGGGTGGGGTGGGGGAGGAATTTAAAGTTCGGCTCTACAAAGATACAATCAACTGCCTTTTTTGCTTCCTGGTTTTCTTTTCTGACTGTACTGTGTGGAAAATAAAATAAATTGATAAATAAAAGTAAAGTAAAACTGACAAAAACTTCTGGCGCTTGTCTGAGCCATCCAAACATCAATCTGGAACAAAATGTAATGCTTGAATATGTACAAATGAACAGGTTCCTCCACTGCTTTTAACTGAATACTCACATTGATCTCATCTTAACGTAACTTTTGAGACAGTTCACCACCTCACAAAAGCAAAAGGCAACATTAACCACTCGTCTAGGGTTTTATTCAGGTTAAAAAAGCTCTTTCAACCACATTTCTAAAAAGGCTCCTCTTTTTAAACTCATACCAGGTGTAGGGTCATACAAGGTCACTCAATACAGCATTGGTTTGCTGGAGGCATAACACTTTTAATCAACACTGCTACACATGCCAATCCATTTTCTTGTTCTTTTTCAACTATTGAACAGCAATACTAACACAGTGGTATCATAAAACAGCACAGCTCAGAGTCCCTTTTTTTTGGACACATTTACCTTCACTGATTGCAGACTGTAAAGTTACTGGATAAGAAATACAAACCAAAATGAAACATGAACAAAAAAGAACACTGATGCCCTTAACATGGCGGTTAAACCTGAGTTCTGTTTTTGGAAGAGGACTCTTTTTTTTTGTCTGATGATAGTATTCTACTTCTATTCAAGCATTGTTAAACTGCACTATTTTAAACATTCATTCAGCTTTTCTCCATTTAATATACTAATGATTTCACAGTTTGCTGTCAAGTCTCCAGATGTGCCCAAAGCCCCTGCTTTATGCTGTCAACAAGCAAACTCCTCAAAGTTGCCTAAAGTCGGGTGACGAGGTAACATGTTCGGCGTGAATCCGAGACTGTCCGAGTGACTCCGGAGGGTGTCACAGGTGCTCTGCAAAATAGAGGGGGGGGAAGGAGGGAAGACGAGTTCAACCGGGTTAAGGGAGGAGCGATATAGGGAACGATGGAGGAAGTCAATGAGCCACAGGTAAAATGAGAAATATGTTGGAAAGAAAATGCAGGAAATAAATGGGGAAAATAATTGTGTGATATGAGGAGAAAATAAGAGAAAGCATGATGTGATGATTAATAATGTCCCACACAGAAGGACAGGACATTCAGAGGGGTGCGATGAATGACAGAAACAATGAGGCAATGAATAGATGTGGGAGTTTAAAGTTCAGAGGCATTGCATATGTTTCACAAAGGAGAAATATGGGGGGAATGCCAGGGTGAGATGAATGAAAAGAGGGAGAAGAGAGAAAGAAAAACAGAATATTTTTAGTCCTACTTTGACACTAACATGAAAAAGTTTTTTTTTTCTTAAGGAATTTGAAACATCCAGATTGTGTATGTATGTCTCTCCTTCTGTGCAAAAAGGCCCTTTAATAAGAAAACTGGATATTTGGGCAACGCATACACTGGTTGTCCCGATAACAAAAATGTCTATTTCAGCAAACAAAGACCCATTTTGTGCAAACTCACTGCATGCAGACCTGTGATAACATCACAAAGCAATGCATCCAGAGATGTTATCTGGCATGAGCTTCAAATACATAGCCTCTAAATTGACCTCTGGGCTGCCGGGAGACAAACAGATCTCATGTGGCTCAGTGTTTTTGCACAGTTCAGTGAATATCTTTTAACTGGAGCAATGCACTTTAACCTACGGAGGGGGAAAAAAAGCGTCATTATTTAGTGAAAGGAGCAGCTTTATATAGTGCTGGGCATGTGGAGAATCCAACCAACTCTCGTCTTCAGCTGAGCTGAATAAATACAGACACAAAACACAACTGACCTGTCCTGACACAGCAATAGATAATAAAATTAGCACTAGCTCATCAGTCACCCCTTTTTATTGACTGCCAACCAAATTGTTTGTGACCTATGAGGAAATGATGCATGAGATGGTCTCAGAAAGGGACAGTATGGGAGGGAGCATCTATTATTGAAGGGGTGTGCTACCTGGGGACATGATTAGGCGTGACACCAGGGCTGGTTGGGTTCTCTGGAAACTCCTGGAATAGACATGATGAAAAGAAAGATGGGTGAGGGTGACTGAAATGAAATCAAAACACAATGTAAATGTTTTAGGTTAAACTTCCGAGTAGAGGGTTTCAACCCAGATTTTAAAACAAAAAAATATCCTGATGAGGAAAAACAAATAGCATTTACTGTCATCCAGACATGTTCATGACTGCTGGGGAAATGAAAGACAAACTTCCAACACAGAGTCAAACAACAGCAAAATAACGACCTTTTCAGGTGGCGTGAGTGAAGGTGTGACGATGGAGTTGTTGGAAAATGCGTAGAGTGGCGTGCAAATATCCAGGCAAAATAGCATAAAATGATTTACTGAGAAACTGATGTTTATGCACCCCAAAACCTTGGACCTCTCCGACCCATTAGCAGAATGTTTTTTTCAAGGCGATGACATGTTCATAATCAGGAAATAGGCCAGAAGGAGAAAACCTCAAAGCTTTCTAAAGCTCTCACCTCCTTAGACCCAGTGCCAACTACAGGCAGCCTTAGGGTCCACTCTGAAAATGATACGAATTGAGCATAAAGTGTTCTCTGCTGTCTGTTTTTTCAGTACTTTTAATCTAGATAAATTACAGTTAACAAAGATGGAACACCAGAGGAAAACTCAGGATCTCTAAAAAAGAGGCATACTTATAAATATAAATAGTAAAAAGACACCAAAAGGTAAATGACTTGTGCTGCTTAGGAGTACCAAGCCTTAGAATTGAGCAAATGGATTGTTATTCATGGTGGAATTTCAAACTCTCTGGTCGGTGTTTTGTTTGCAATAAAAAATAAAAGACAACAAAAAGATTATATAAATTTCATGAAGTTTTTTTTGCCTGCCACTGTGTTTAATAAGAAACAAACGCATACTGGTGGTGCGTGTGACATGAATGGAGCACAGAATTAACATCACACCATGGAAAAAAAGCATGAATGCAGACGACATTGTTTGTTTGCCAGCTAGTTTTTTTTTGTTTTTTCTATCACAAAAAATCTATGTTAAACCAGTCATCTCTTTCATAATGAACCTGAGTTTACTGTATTTACCCACTGCAAAGGATAAGTATTGTCTCTAATTTCCTTCTCTAGTCACTGAATTCTGAACGGGAGCAAATTGAACATGCAAGAGCACCATCCTCATGCAGACAAACCCCGTAATAATTCATCAATGACTTGAAGAAAAATTGAGGACAGCCTATTTCGCATGCCATCTTTCTGCCATAATGAGTGACACACATAACAATACATTCCCATCTGCCAAGAGAGCTGGATGCAAACCAGTGGATACAATATATTCAACGTCAAAAGAAAAATGTCAGCATATGTCTAAAATCTGCTTCAATGCTTTTCATTATAACAGCACCAGATAAGAGGAAATGTTTCAACTTTGATCTGTGGCTCTGGTCCCTCTGAAAGTTCCACAGTGACTTTATTCAAAGAAAGGAATAAGAGGACCTTAGGAACAAGATTTCAATATGTCCAAGATGCGTCATTTTACATCAAAGCACTGTAAAATTTGTCATATTTGTCATATTTGTCATAACAAAAAAACTCATCTTTTGCTTTCTGCAATATGCGGCGCACAATTACAGCTTAAATGAAAAAGATTTCTGCAATAAATGCCTTAATACGTCCTAAATGCTCTGTAAAAAAAAACTATGTGGGAGGGGTAAATGAGATTTAGGGAAAATACCTCCAGTTACTTTCAAGAGAAAATAAAACTAGATTTATTTTATGGCTCTGAAAACAAATTGATCATAAAAAAAAACATTTCCAGACAAGTTTATCTCTTTTCTTTTCCTTATTCTAGTCCCACACAAATCTGCTGTGTATAGCATTATCTTGCTGGAGCACAAGGGAGAAAACGGAGGAGCAACAACAGCTTTTCCCGTTCGATGTGAACTTTAAGGACGTGACAGACAGTGACACTGCGAAAGCTAATATATGTTGAAAAAATACTGCAGTGTGTTGGTGTGGGGGATTAACTCTGATAGGGTCCACAACCTCTGGTAATGAGAGCAGTTTATGAGTCATGGAGAAAATTTAAGTGAGAGCGACTCAGACTCTTCACTCTGAACATATCCAAGCACCAAGGTTAAAGTACAGATAGCAGCAAAACACTTGTCAAACCACAACAAGCATGAAAAAGAGCTTTCAGCCTGTACTTACAACAGCCATCCATTTTTGCAGCTGTTGCCGATTTTTATGGTCCCACAGAATAATTAGAAGGCATGTAAAAATGTAAATAAAGAGCACTCTATGTGTGTCTTGCTGCACAGCACTCGAACAAAATGTGTGTATTCTTACATTTTCTAACTAAAATATGTGGTTTCTGCATGACAACCAACATCCACAGTGTGGGCTGCTTTCTCCTTTCTCTCTGTCTCTAGGGCTGTTCAATGAAAGCATTTCAAGTGTGAGCGGACATTTTGTTGCTGAGCTGTTTCTGAGCATATCACATTCATTGAATTCAATCGAAGGTGTTCTGGGAGGAATTACCAGATTGTCGCTCTGACAACGCTGTGGCCTTTTCTTGCGCATGAAGTAACCCAGAACTTTATCCTTGAAAACCTAAATGCAAAAACATCAGATAAACATGACTCACAGACTACGTCACAGCAATTGACGCTCAGTACTTTGGGAACGTCAGTTCACTCATGCACACATATAAAATGTCATGCATTTTGAGCCCTCACAAAAGCAAAAGGATATTAAATCCTGTGGGGTTTTAGAGGAGCTGATAGAAGGATATTCTATCAGCTACTTGATTTACTCAACTTTACTAGATTTAATATCTAGTTGAGTAAATATATCCAAAGTCTAGTTGTGGTATATTTAACATGTGTAAACCTATTCTGAAGGAGTAATAAGAGAAGTTAAGAAGATTAGTAAGTAGGTAAACATGTAACATGGAGAGAGCTGGCTGTAGGTACTGAAACCACATGCTCTTTATTGTCTCTTTTTTACATTATGTGAATGAACTGTATATAGATATTTGCAAGTAAACATAAATGTCTGTATATGTAAATATACATCTATATAAATGTAGATATATGTAGATATGTGGATATCCTTACCACATTTTGTGTCGATAGCCCTTAAACAAGTGTAACACATTTTCAAAAACCAATTTTATCAAACAGAGAACTTCACAGTACCTCAGTTTTACAAATATGGTGCAAATTTCTGCTCTCAAATGCACCATGTTAATCAGGTGGATGTTCCCGAGTGAGATTTAAACATGGAACTTGAATCCGTTTTGGAAATGTAGTCTTTAAATCAAGCCTTGAAATGCAGTTATGTCCTAGATAAATTCAATATTTGGTAACAACGTCAACATGAGACAGTACTTTGGAATATTAGAGGTCTCGTCTACCATTTTCTATATTTTCCAAATTAAAAACAGCTATTTCCAGAGTGTAGTTTTGGCACCATGATTGACTTCTTCAGAATAACACTGTGTAAAGTTTTCTGTGAGAATCCATTTCATGCGTCTCCTGCACGTAACGTACTGCAATGAGGTGCAAAAGTGAAGTGCAGCTACAGAGAAATGATTGATCTAACTGTTTACATGTTCTCAGTAAATTGTGAAATATGATGTGGGGAAAAGATTTGAAAAAATCTGTGATCTAACAAAGATTATTTTTGTCAGAAGCAAAGTCAAAGCATTACCTCGTATAGGTAGTCGAATATTTCCAGTATTGTCAGAACACTGGCTCCAATAAACAGCCCCATCTGACCTCCAATGTCACCTGCAGAACAAGAGATGAACAGATATGGACGGGTACAGTCATTGAACAATGGTGCATGAAACCATTTCCACTGCTGTCACATCTAATTCCATATATCTCAAAGTAATCTGAGCACAATTGTCAAAAGTGTCCATGCAGGCCAAACTTCCCATCAAACCCAGCCCAGCCGCCCTTGCAAGAGCATCAGATTATGAAAATGTGTTCATTCTGTTTCACAAGTTCAAAGAAGAACCCTCAAACCGCCAGGCGTGAACACAATGTAAAATGTGTGCCAGGGGTCCGCTGAGTGCTGATACCAAAGTCATTCTCTCTTTTTTTTTTGTCACAATGAACACGGAACTGTGAGAAATCTTACCGAGAAGCCCTGCAATTTCATAGGCCTTCTTCTGCTCAATTTTCTCGTAATTCAGAGCTTCAAAGAAGATGTCCAACACCATTATATTTTCTCTATAAAGGGAACAAACAAGAGCATGCAATGAATTTGACTTCCTGTGATGACTTTGACTTCCTGACATTTAATCTGCAACTTTCTTTCATTATTGTTACATTGAAGGTGAACGATGGAGACTCGGACCATGCTATGCCACATAGCACAAAGCAGGAACCCATCAACAGAAGGAGGAAAAGAGGCAATTATCTAAATAACTGACTGAAGCTAAATAATACTTACCCAATATATTGTTCAGTTTTGTTGAATTTCTTAGCCAGATACTTAGCAGATGCCTTACTGGGGATCTTAACCATGGACAGCTCCTTGCCATAGCGAGTCATGTTGCAGGGTGTCTGACAGACACAGTAATCGTTGTCTTTCTCTACCAAAAAGTCTGTGGATGATCAAAGTGATTTAAAAATATTGCGATCTCTATTAAAATTTCAAACAAACCTGCATTCAGTGGCTTTCATGCTTGCCTTTTCTACTATAAATATCTCTAAACAACAGAAATACACTCGCTACCATCGTTCACTTTCCATGAAAGCAAATAATGACGGAAGCCATTATACTGTAGAGAAGAGGACGGAAGAGAAAAAAAAAACTAGCAGAATTTATTTGATGTCAGTAAGGCATAGTCACGTCACAAATCTTAATAATGGGAACTTGAGGCAATTTCATTATTTCTGCTTCAACGCCATCTGACATAAAAGGAGTTTTAAGTTGAAGCTATATTTGTGTTATCCAAATCTTGGAACAGGCTAGTGGCACTGCTGCGCTCCAATTCATGCATTAGTTCAGCAACACCACACTCACACTGTGGTCTGAATGCAAAGCAAACAGGCTCACCTAAAGCCGGGTCAGCGCAGTCTTTATACTGCTCAGGTGTGCAAACAGTAGATGTCCCTGTTTGAGACAATATTGATGTGAAAAACGTGATTAATATAAGTTAGATACGATGTTTTTTCACAAGCCGAGCCGTGTCTGAGTCCCTACCCGGCATGTGAACCATCCTGCAGTTGCAGTTCTCCAGCAGGTACCGGGTTTCACAGTCAATGCGGCATGCGGTGATGCTGTACGTGGAGAAGAATTCAGAGTCTATTGGAGTGGACTTGCAATCTCCCCAAGGCGGTGGGAGGTACTGAAGCTGAAAGAGTAAACAGCACATGTTTTCCCTCAGCATATCAGCTCACAGGATTACAGCAAATAGCAAAATGCAAACCCAGTGCAGCTCAAGTGCAAAAGATGACAACAAGCTGACAAAAACAAATACAAATGCCTGAAACGTCAGAAAAACAACCCAAAAAACTGAAGGAAAACAACAAATGCATTAAAATGAAAATGTGCTCTGGGAAAAAGGTCGCACAACAATTTCTGTCACGACAACATTATTCTTTATGTATAACAGCAAGCAGACATCATGCAGAACATCATAAATGCAGGTCTAATATAAGGTTAAAAGCAGAGTACCATGGGACTAAAAACAGGCTCAGAAATAGGAACTCAGTGTGCAGATTCAGACAGGACACCACAATCAATGGACAAATTTTACAACCCTCACGAGAGTACGAACAACCACAGAAAAGGATTGTTCTGAAATGTAGAATATTATCTAATTGAACTGGATCCACAAAAAGCGCATGGCATTAATTTACCGGAAGCTTATTACAGAAGTTTATACCGTTGATCGATTTTCATAGATTTCTTATTCGACTCCCATTAATTAACGTCTAAATCACCCTCTATAACCTTATGAATATAATTATATATTAGGTTAATGATTATGAATAATACAGACAATTCTATATCAAATCGTAATTATGACAGCTGAATTTTCAAGACTTGGGGATTCGACTTTTGAACTGCAACAATATGCCTCATGTGTGCATCTGCTCGTTTATATGATCTGTACAGAGCATTTTGTATTGTTCACTGAGAGAACTGACCTTTAACCACCAACAGGACTTCCAGTTCCAATTTTTTTTACAGCTTTTTATGAAAATGATTCGCTACGACTCATTTCATGACAGAGTAAAGCCATTTTAAATGCAACCCTGTGAGGCCTGTGTTGTTTTCGTCACATTAAGACTCACTGAATGCCCTCCATTGCTGCCAACCAGGTGAACTCTGACAGTAAAACTGTCATTTTGCGAATGGAAAGTGAGGGAAAGCAATTTGGTAAGTGATCGGATCAGAGCCGGCAAAAATGACTAAACATTACTGAATTCCATTTTGAGCCCACACACAGTCATTATAGTTGATAAAGCCTAACGAATAGTGTTGTGTGTCCTGCCATGAGATACAATGCAGTAGTCCCCCATTAAAGTGGAATACAAAAAAGTGTTTAAAGCAAAAGGGTAAAAGTAAACAACCAATTTCTAAAGACACAGACTCAGATGAAAGGTTTAAAGGAAAGAAATGCAATATTTTCTTGTTACAAAAATGGTCCAAAAAGAGAAGACAATGGCAACAATTACACAGTGCAGATGCTGTTACATGATGTTGCTACAGCCACACACAGGGGTCTTTTCTTAGGAGGGTGGGGGTACCAGCAAGTGAAAGTGTTGAACTGAATGAGTGTTCAGCAAACCGACAGTAACTTTCCAGCATGCAGCAAGCCCACTCAGTTATACGCTACCCTCTGCTCTTGGCTGGAAACAAATGTTTGGAAGCCGGGGGCGACCCCAAAGCCCAGCTCGTGGAGGAAAGGCGGCTCTGTCTGAGTGTGAAGCTGCACCTTTATGCCAGCTTCATAGGAAGTCTCATCTAGGGTGAAGATGAGGGAACACAGCCCACATCAATGGTAAAAGACAAAGAGGAGCAACAGGAAAGGGACCGGAAGTAGTCAACTCCTTCAGATATTCTTTCATCAGTGTGACTGTAAAAATGCTGTGGCTACCTGCAGCGTATGACAACATGGGTTGTTAATATACTTTTTGCTTTTATATGTTACCAAATTCAAGTCAAAGTCTCCCAATTATGACCAAAAAAAAGGAAAAAAAGAAAAAAGATAAAGAGAGGTTTTTAAATCTCAAATTCTTCATCCTACTTCGTTCCATTGTTGTATATACACGGGCAACATGTTAATAACAGTCTAATTCATTAAGAACCTCTATCAGGTCATAAACGTGTCTTAGCTGTCACTTTTCTGAATGTTTGCGTCACGATTATTTGTGACTTTTTTGTGCACCTTTTCACTGAGGAGGAACTTTTGATCAATAGATCAGATTCACTGCTAGAAAATGGCTGAGTGATGATTCCCTTGAAGAACAATGTTTTTGAAAAGAAAGAGAGAATGAAAGCATCATTTCCCAAAATAAAATCTGTCATCTTTGTGGTGTCCAAATGTCTGTTTCATGAAACCAGAAATATGCCTCAATTATCCCATGCTATTCTGCTGAAACAAGACAGATTTGAATAGTTTATTTCATGCTGGCAAAGCAACCAAGCTGATTATTTTTGGAGCAAAATCACTGAATTCATGTTCCAATTAGTTTGCAAAGAATTGAATAAGTATTCATAATGTCCCAATGACTGATTTTGACATAGAAATATTGATAAATGTGCAGCACACTAAAAAAATAAAGCTGACCTCAAGGTGTGTTTTTGTTTTAGAGGATTTCCATTTACTTGTTATTATAGATTAGACAAAAGACACAACCTAGACTTGCTCTCTTGACAACATGCTAGCAATCCCTTGAGATTTGAAAGAGAAATCCATGTGGGCTCACTTAAATTAATTTTAAGTAATTTTTTCAGTAAGAGTTGCAAATCAAGCAACACTCATTTGTTAATTAATCAGAGTTAATATGCTGATGATTTAAGAATGCTGACCAACAATGTGCGATTTCTCTTAGATTGCACCTGTGCAGACAATTTTCAAAGCAGTCAGAAGCCATGTTTAGTTTTTTTTCTCTATGTGAGCAGTCATATATTTTTGCATGCTGTGCAGTCCAAAGTGCTTTTGGCTCTCGGAGACACAGTATGCCCTTATACTTTCATCCAGTCATTATTTGGCCCTGAGCTCTAAGTGTTCCTTGGCTTCTCATGGTCTTTACTTCAATTTACTGTACCCACTGAATACCAGATTAACTCAACGCTTCATTAACACTTTAACTGCAGTTATCCCACACAAGCTCAATCTTTGATTCGATTTTGCTCCACACTCTGTGAGACACAGATAATGACAATGCCTGGCGAATATTTTGGGACAAACACTGAATGAGGCAGAGCGAGAGGTCGAGATCGGAGGCTGATCATTAGTACCAGTTGCTGCTGACATGACACAAAAGTTTGAAAACCAGGGGCCACACCAAATCCCAGCTGGTCAATAAAAGGTGGCTCATCCTGGCTGTGGATCTGAACCTTGATGCCTGCTTCGTAGGAGGTCTCATCTGTGGATACAGCACGCCAGAACATGTTGAGAAATCAGGTACTTTTAAACTCATGCAGGAAGCTAATGGAAGGAAAATGCTTCTGTGCCGGTGGGTACTAAACACGTTAACAACCAAAAGATTCATTGAATGTCGTTTAGATCCTGAATATGTGATCCACTGGTGATGTTTACTGTAAATGAGAAAAAATGTCAATGTAGTTTATGGGATCTGATGTTGGCTGTGGACCTGGTGAAACACAGGACAAACTATTGTTACATCACCTTTTTATTCCCCTAGGTAGAAATACATCCATGTGCTACAAAATGTAAACAAGATTAATTTTTCCATAAAATAGTCCTGCAAGTTAAACCGTCATGCTGAATATAAGGATAGTGCTTCAAGTTGCACTGACCTGTCTCTCCCCACACAGGCAGGTATTCATCCTGCTGAATGTCCAGCATGATTTCCAAACCATTTCCTGTGCCACCTTTCAATGTGGTCAACAAAGGGTTGCCGTCTAATCCCGAGTTGAACGTGTAGCATTTTCCATAGCGCGTGTAAATCTGTGGAAAGAGCACAGAAACAAAAAGGAAGGTGAAAACACTTCTATTATGTAGTGCCAAGTTGTTTACCAGTGGAAGATGTATTGCATGTCAGCATGTAATTGTGCGGAAAGGGTAATTGTTTTGTGATTAACAGAGAAAGCAGCATGGGCTCTGAACAGGCACCTGGCTCTGATATGAGGAACTAATAGCAACTTCCCAGCAGCAGCAGATATCAATCTTTATCCAATTTCTCTCCAAAATTTCCCCCAAATGATTTATAGAGTATGTGATATTCTGTTGTCATTAAAAAGTGAGAGACATTTGACGGATCTGAACAAACGCCAGTAAAGCTTGGCCGGCCTTCATGATGCTCTGTCACAAATAGACAGAACACGATTCAGCACCAAACAACTGAAATTTCCCCAAGATTACTTCTTTTACAGTTTTAAGCATTTTTCTTATAATTTGCCTGTTTAAAGTGAAATTAAAATCTGTATACCTGCATGTTCTGTGGTGGATTAAGACAGAATCTTAAAACGTTAACAAATTTGAAGGTGCTCTGTATGCTGACATTGACCAGTTTGAGATAGGATTGGAAAACAGAACTGATTGAATATGCAGCAGGGAAAGAAGCAGCGGTCTGAAACATTCCTAGAAAGTGTTTCCATATCGTTTCTTGATGATTTTATGTTGGTTTTTACTGTTTGTGTTCATAGCAAACAATCAAATATGAAGTGATTGAATCAAGACTGCTCAACACACTTGTGTGCTGCTTCTCATGCAGGAAAGGTTTGAATCAGATGCAAACCAAATTTTGGAAACTTGCAATCAAAAAGCTTTTCACTAATGCACTTACACATTTTATCATCAGAAGCATTTATATGAATTTGTAACATAAAAGGCATAAGTATTTTGGAAGGTTTATTTTGTTAAGAGATTAAAACACTTGCTCAGACTTATTTATTGAAAATACAAAAATGTGATGCTCTTTATTAGATCCCAACATTTATATGTATAAGTTTAAAAAAACACTACAAATTAACATCGGTATATTGGGGTATAAACTGTGTGGGCTATATAAATTGATGTAAATCATAAAAATGATTTTTATAGCATCAGTGCTTCCTGTGTACCATAAAAGTTAAGTCATAATTATCTACACCGAGTCATACTTCCTGCTTTAATGATCACAGCTGTCTTCCTACACAACATACAACACCATAACAAAACTGAATTCAACGTCATACATCACCTTGGCAGATACTTCATCCTTTGGTTAGTTTTTACAAGCATCCGCTCTGATGAGGTTGTGTTAAAGGATGAGAAGGCAGGAATTGACAAGCATGGTAAAGCCAATCTCCAGAGATCAGAATCAGTGTTCCATGTCCACACTCAGACAGACTTACATGCAGCTTAGACAGACACCGTTCAGCAGATCCCTGTGCCTTTCCCCCTGCCGGCTATATAATGAGCTCTGCAAAGTGCCTCGAAACTATCCAACTGGTGACTGCTTTTAAAGGTTTAGACCGGAGTTTAGAGAACACGAGAGTGACAGCCAGTCAAACCTCAGCGGCAGAATGAGTAATTTGAGATTCAGGCACAGCTCAGATCCCACACACGACCATCTCTGACCATCCATCAGCACATGACAGCCCATTCTCAACGTTGGAGTGGTTCTTCATTGGCGTAAAAAAAACAGGGAGGCCACATGCTGAATGTATATTTTTACTTGCCTCAACCTGTGAATATTTTTTTATTAAAAACGAATCTGCAGTTACCGAAATACTTTTTAGAAATATTTGCATGTGAAAGAATGGAACAAAGCTCAAGCAATGTTATCCACTTTCACAATTCAGTTGCTCAAAAATTAATATCTGAAATATCTCTGGTGCTTTAATTGGACCTTCTGAGATGCATCCTTCTTGTGCCCTGCAGATGTTTAATTAGACAAGCTAAGTTATGCTGAAATACCAATCATTACATTTTTCTCTCTTTAATGCTGTTGCAAGGAAAGCATTATTACACTGCAAGGACTCAGTGATTATACCGACACTAAATAAAAATGCGTAAGAATTTACAGTAGACAAAGCATTGATGATGCATTGATAACACTGTGTATAGATCCTTGAGAGACTCAAGAGGATGCCAGAGTAACAGAGGGTAAAGCTGTTAGAGCCAGAAACAGAGCAGTTTAAAACAATTTAAAGCAGTGAGAACACTTACAAGAAACAGCCCCAGTCAGACTAACAATTTATCCCCCTTGTAAATAGCCCTCACATCCACACCTGGGAAACATCGTCCATCTGTCTATACATACAGTGCTGAAGTTTTTCGGGGTACAGGTCTCCCCTCGATACCGGCACTCCAGCAGCATGTCCTCCAGCTGGTGACCGAGGCGACCCATCATCTCTGTGGTGTTGACGCGGTAATCGGGGGCCGGGGTGTAGTTGCGAAAGTCCAGCAGACTCAGGATCCCTGGCTTATGGCTGTCTTTGAGGATGGACAGGCTCCTCTTTATCACCGTGTGATTTGAGTACATGAGGTCCATCCAGTAACCGCTGTGATACAAGTCATCCTTGGTCAGAGTGGATGCACGGAACACATTTTTATTGCAGAAGGTAACGGCTGGGAAGGACATGTTGTGAGCCCAAACCATGTAGATCTTGGTAACAGCAGGGTAGGACATCAGATAGAGGATTCGGTTCCGGGACCATGTACACAGCAGACTGAAACAAAGGAAAAAGGCCAGGATCCAAATGACCTGCTGTGGTTTCGACTTGTCTGGAGAGAAGATAAACTTCAAACCATGGATCTTGGTCCTTCTTATAAAATCCACAGTGATTTCTTTAAGTGATGTTTTCAGTAAAGTGGACTCTGTTTGTTGGTCAGAGGTCTCTTGGGCATCATTGGGCTTCCGGGTCCCCAGAGCAATTGATTCAGACGTGGAGGCTTTAACCATTATTGCAAGGCAAAGCAAGTGCTACGTTATCAAGTGAAATTTCAAAAAGGAGCCAAGGGTACACTACAGTGTACTTACAGAAGCTTTTATGACCATTTCCAGGTGTGTTTATGAAAAAATTCCAGTTATCGGTTATTGGAATCCAAATGTTCGGCAGCCTCACTCTTAAGACTGAAAACAAAAGGCGAGCATGCTTTTGGGAAAGAACATTTCATTTACATAATGATCCCTTGATGATAAAACCAGCTGAAGTCCCTCCAGTGACAAAAATATATCAGGACTGTCACCGGTCTTTAATCAGCGGTTAAAAAGGCGTGATAATTGCAGATAGAAGCGACGGCTTCACTCCCAGAGGTAATCACTTTGAAAATCCGGAGAGGCTTACCCCTGTTGCTCAGATCTTTCACTCCTCCATCTCCTTCCAGACAATACTTACAGATTTCGGTGGTTTCTGTCTTCGTGCAGTCTTTACCCAGAAACTAACTCCTCCCGCTTTCCACAGATTGAAGAGATGCTTTCTAGCCTGTTGACTAGAAGCCTGCAGAAAGGAAAATAAAGCTTGTTGCCCCCCTAGTCAGACACACACTCCACACTCTCCACAGTCGAAGGGAGAATGAGGTGGAGCCAGTGGATGAAATTGTTTTCCTCTAGTGATGAAGTAGACCTCCAATGGAACAGAGAGGCGGAGAGCGGTGGTATTGATCAAAGTGGGAATAACTATGATAAAAAAAATTTGTCAAGAAAAAGATGGGAGTTTGAAATTTGTTAATGATAAAGCAGCTGCAGCTCACTTGTAGATCGATACATTTATATAATTGATAAATGTGCTTAGGCAGCGAGTCGTAGAAAAAAAGCAAACCTCCTTTAAAATGTGTTTGAGATATCTGATAATACCGCTTCAACTAGTTATTTTACGAACAATTTGGAATGTAATCTTATAAATCACAAATGAGGTCTGTCATTCTGCTGCATACGCATGTGACTGTGGATGATATAAAAAAAAATCGCTTTGTTCCATTTATGTAAGACTGCCAGAATTCTGCTTGGCAGGGACGTGAGCTTCTTACTTATTTCCTCTTATCTAAATATGTTAGCTACAATCTTTCAGGCTGTAACAAAATTACGGCACCAGTAACTCAATCACAGCTGTGATGATATAGGGTCATAAAACCGTGATTATTATGATAAGAAAAAAAGTTTCATCCCTTTCTTTACTTTGAGGAGTAAATGTCACTTCTATCCTCACATTACAAACACATGTTTCTAATCCCTGCAATTAACCTATAGGGTGGCAATGGTTCATAGATATTGTGGAATGTGACTATTTACTGGATGCGGTGAGTGACCTGATCCAGCAATTTGAACCCATCCGACTGCTATATGGAGAATTGTTTTACCTGTATTACTGTATCATAAAAGATACAGTCTAATGGAAATCAGCAACAGCAGATAAAGAGAAATGAGGTAGGTATTGTTGTTTTTCCAAAGGGATAATTGCTGCCAAGAAGTGTCAGTATGAGGCAATTTAGTACGAGGCAATTTAGCATGAGGCAATTTTACTTTGCATAAAAAACACAGATTACAGTTATGAATTATCTGTCAGGATCTCACTCCATGTTCAGCATTTCACTGCTCTCTGAGTTTAATAAAAACTAATGAGCTGTACATTTAAGATTTCAGATACTTAAGCTGAATTGCAACATTAATCTTCTTGAACATTGCAGTACAACAAAAATCTCTCAACATGGTGTCGATTTGTAGGATGCTAGCCACCCTCATTTACAGGGCAAGTGATCATATTTGATCACTTCAACACAATGAGCAAAGCGATCGTCTGATGGACCTGCAGCCTGGTCATGGTGTACCTTACTTTTCATCAGGTGGAAACTGGGATAGGGTCATACACAATAAGTATGGCTACAATATTGAAAGGTTTTTCATAATTAATACAAAGACTATATCAAATCAATAATATAATTTGAGCCAAAAGTCTGAATTGATAACGGGCTGTTGTAAGTTTTGTTTTCTATATGTTTTTTTGGAGCTCTCTTGCAACAAAACAACCCAACTGAATTCATTTATCTAAACCTGCTCCTCCACCCGCTACTGTGTATCATGTCAATGCCACACCTATTCTCTTCCCTTCAGGCAAGACAGATACCTAGATTTTCTGGCAGGCTTTTATGAGAACATGCATATGCATTGAGGCTGCAAGATGACCTTTCTCCCTGTTTTCTTAAATCCACAACCAAATACTATTTTTGTTGCGGGAAAAAAAAATCTATGGGATATAAAAAACACAAATAACTAACCTTTTCTATTTCAGCAGAGATATTGCACCTATTTCAGTCTCTGACCCACCAACAAAGCAAGACAAATATACAGCCCTCTCTGAAGTCAAGTAATAACTCAACCCATAAAAGAGTTACAGACCACTGCCTGGCTTCATCGCTTATTGACCAGCTGCATGGATCTCCTCCATTCTCACTTTCTTTGGACATGTGTCAATAAATACGCGGGACATTTACGAGAGGGTTAATTGCATGAACCTATCTTTATTCAGGCTCGGTGGAGGTGTGACGCAGGGCCTATTTAACGGTGTCATAATTATCCCTCCTCAGCAGTTTGAGGAAAATGCCATTTCATTACTCTGTGCTCCAGAGGCTACACAGAGCAAAGCATGGCAATCATCATCAGGCTTTTAGATATGGGCTCTTCTTGTTTGACAGCAACTCTTCCTCCGAGGAAGCCAATGCCTAAAGTACAGTATATTCTCAAATATGTTGCATGGCGCACAAACAGATTATTTCTTTCACACTTTACATTTGCAAAATATTCTTAAACATGCTTTCAGTTGACTGATGCCGATTCTGTCTTTGGGCTTATTTCTATAATCTATTTGCAAATGACAAAACTATAGTGAAAAATCAATCAAACTGGAGGAGAAGAATTGCTTGAAGAAATTCTTCTTGTCTGAATTGTTTAAGGCATGTTTTCTTCATTTTGAGACATGCATTATCACTATAGTTTTCATGTCTTACTGTAAGTTTTTGTGTGAACTCCTTCACCATACTTCAACTTGTTCAAGAAGCAAGATGTCAAATCTTTCAGCTTTGTCGGGACATTACAGCTATGACTTGTGTTATTGATATCTTTTCACATTTTTAAATATTTGTGATTTTCAGGTCTCATTCAAGTGAAAAGGAAAGCCTTCAAATATTTCAAAAGGTTTGACCTCTTTCAGCTCTTACTACTTCAGCATAGTATCAGCTTGAAATACCATTCAACTTTTAAGCGGGTGTCAAGAGATTGGGCTTTAACCAACTGACTTGTCCCTTCAGCCATTTTTAAAATATGAAAGTTACATTATTCCTCCTTCAACATTCTCTGAGATTAGAGAGAAGAGGAACACTCTAGCTGTGCTGCACATCTCACGATTCAGAAAAGTCTTCAAATTCCCGTTATCAGAACAATGAAACATCAAAATTTGTAAAAAAAAATAAAAATAAAATAAAAAATGGAGAGAGAAGGATTTGTAACTAAAAGTAAGGGAATATTTGAGAAAAAAGTGTAATATTTACATGAATCAGCTCTCCTGCTTGACAATTTCCCATTTACTCACTCAACCTCTTGTTTTCTTCACACAATAAAATTTTAAGCTGTTTTATGATCCCTTCTTTCCTCCATTCTTCTGTCTGACTTGTTTACATTTATTATGTTACATACAAACATTTAAGATAAATAGTCTAGTGATTCATATGACCTTTGACCTTTTAATGAAAACTCTTCATCTTTGTGTTGAAATGTACTTCCCCTGACACGTTTGCTCTTTCACATTTCAACATTTCTGTTCAGTTGGCATTTCCATAATATATAAGCCTTTTAAATAACTCAGTAAAATATTACAATAACTTTCCAGCTTCTTTCTCATCGTCTTCCAGTCCAGTCATTTAGCTGGTTGGCATTCTGAACAACAAGTATATTTACAACAAAGCTCACAAATCTGGTGTTACAATCTGGCATCACAGAACAGAGATTTCTTTACTAAATGCATACAGTTGTCTTTATTTATTCAAATAGTTGAGCTAAATCACTAATCTAATGGAAATATGTCTCCCTAAAAATCGACTGTAGTAATTTAAATTATTAAGGAATTCTGGGAACTAATTTAATGATTATTTCCCCCTGTGAAATGGCCATCCCCTTTTCTGAGAATGAATTCCGGTTGCTTACACATTGCTATTGTTATATTTCTTGGGATAAAAACACATTTTATCTTCATCTCAGTGTTCAAGCATTCAATTATAGGGTCGTAGTGCTATAAAATCGGTACAATTCAAAAGAGCAGTTAATTGCCTCTTAAAGGAAAACCATTAAACGGCTTTATTTCTCACATTTATTGCCAATTTAAAAATGACTTGCTGATCTCTCCTGCTGTCAGGGAGTGACAGTAATCATCCTCCTTTGTGTCAAAGCCAAGCTGAACCCCAGAGGTCTCATTAGAGGAGGAGCAGAGTTTTGAATCTGAGTTAAGGGGTGGACTCTTTCAAGGGCCAGAGAGAATGTTCCAAACCAAAAGAAATCTTGACAGCAATTATATGCACATCACAAATACACAGAGCACAGATAGAACAGTGATGAAAGTGAAATAGCTAACATTAACATCCAGTTACTGTAAAGGTGGAGGGTTGATGGACGGTTACTAACTAACAGGGCAACATACTGGCAGGGGATGTCACTGAGAATATAACAAGATGTATGATGCTTTGCTTCCATAAGTAAACCTGAAGCTAACAAATACCAACACTCACTATAAAAGTATTTATTTTTATCCCCTTTGATCAACACAGCCCAAAATTTGAATTACCCATGATAGCATATTTTTGTAATGTATGGCTGGTAATGACCATTGTAAAAGTAAAAAGACAACAGACAGCTTGCTATTTTATAAGATGGGTTGATTTTTTTTTATTTTCTTAAATAAAGCAATTTTCTGAATTATCAATATTTTTTCTCAGTTATTTGCAAATACCTTTGGGAATCTGAGTCCTTTTTTTATATTTGCATTAATGTGACGGTGTGTAGTTACTGTTCTCAGCACAATTATTCTTATTTCTATCTGAACATCATATTAAAGAACAGGGTTAGTTGACATCATGCATGACATCTTGAGAAACTGGACCTCTTCAAAACGACCATTACACACCAATGTGAGGTGCTCTGATTATGAGCAGAACAAAAATATCGTATGCACAGCAGTCTGGGGGATGGACAACTTCTTTAGCAGAGGGAGACACCTTGTGGCCTGCCTCTAAATGAACTAACCTTTCCTGCTCCAAAACAAAACACAATCACTCAGTATGCAGCACAAGTATTGCAAAGGAAGCCAAAATTGATTTTTTGCAAAGAGAGGCTAATACTGTGAAATACCTCATAAAACATGAATCAAAAGGAAAAGATAGTACCATGGACTTTGTCAAAAAAAATTAATATGAAACCGAAAGCTCTAAAGGAGTGTGTGTTCACGTTTCATTTTAATATTCATAGCAAAATCTGCATTTTCATCTTTTTAAAATGCTGCATTCTGATGGGGCCGGGGAACATTTTTTAATTTTTAGTAAAGGAAAGGAAAAACTTCAAATCTGGAGTAAGTGTAAGCATCACTGACACAGCAGAAGCACTCTGTATCCTCCTGGGCAGACCAGGTGGAGAGGAGGTGCAATTTATATCAATAAAAACCAGATGCAGCTGGCTTTACCTGCTGTCTTTCCTCCTTCTTCCATTCCGGGAAAAGCTTGTGCTGTCACTCAAGCTTTCAGTATGCAGTCTACAGTCACATACTGATAAACTAACTCCTAAAATGTTCTCACTTCTACTTTTCTTTTGCCTGTGGCACCTTTTTTCCAGCATGTCCCCATCTTATTTGCTAGCTGGAGGGGATTTGATATCCATTTGTAAACCCCTTCTCTCTGCATATCCAGAAATTATGTTAAGGGGGGAGGGATGAAGCCCAAAAATGCAGCACTGCAAAAGCATTATGTGATTCTTCCTATAGGATCTATTCGAGGCCACATTTCCACACTTGAAATCTCATTACATTACTGCAATCATTAAAACTACTTCAGAAATACGTGTTACTGACAGGAATTTCATCTTATCTGAAATCAGGCAGGGATTGGAAGCTGCAAACCATATGACTTTGTCACAGGAGCAGGGAGTAGACCATCGAGGCAATTAGTGGCAACTAAAGCTAAATATAGAAATCCTCATAATCTAAAGTATATGGACCCATGAAACCATGAGAATTCTTACCACACACTGTCATTATAACAAATGCTGTGGTCTGGACATCACAATGACTGTCGACGGGTAAGCTCTATCATGACATAAAAGCTCTGTTGGTTTTAGACAGAGCCACATTTGTGGTGGGTGCCTACATCTAAAAAACTAATTAGCTTAAGAGGCTCTGTCAACTTGCGCCTTTTACGTTTGCCTCTGGTAGTATCTGCTGCCTGATGTGCAAGTCAGCAGAAAGCATCCTCACACAGCATCCCTGCAATGAATTCCTTCAGTATTCCTGCCCTGCGCCATTGATCGCGCTGCCGTTGCTGCACTTACAGTAACAGTGACTCCCACACTGGCTTTTACTGACACTGAGTAATGGAACAAACACATTAGGAATTTGTTTTCTGGCCTGTCATCCGCACTTGCTGCCTCAGATTTGTTTATTTAATTGTTTACACGTAGAAGCGTTATTTTTATCTCCTCTCTGCCCGTTTATCTTTTAGTAGCACTGTCATTTTTTTGCTCCTTCACACACTTCCTCCCTTCATCTCCTCAAATGCTGCCAGTTGTGCATCATGGCACTGGCTCGGCTCCAACAAAGGTTGAATCACAATCACGGTCATGAATTCCGTCCCAGTCTTACCTCATTCCAACCACAACGCTCAACCGCACAGCCTCCTCTTCTGTTTTCTTCCTACATCTCCTATTTTCTGCCTCTGTCTGCAGCCAGACAGGTTTTTGAACATGTCTGACACTCGATCCCGCTTTTTTTTTTTCTCCATTCACCTTTCTAGTTTTCTCTGACCTCTGGAGTCAACTTCAGTGCCCAAACTATGCTGCAGTAAATCAACTCAAACTCTGTATCCTGGGCCGGACCTGGCAAACCCTAAAAATCTGCAGGCAAGGCAAGGCAAGACAGAAGACGAGTCTAAAGGTAATTAAAAAAAAGTTTAAAACAATGTTTCAACACAATCTAATGGAAGTCCAGTCAGAATAGGGCAGATCAACAGTAACAGGATAAATGTGTAAGTGTGTTTCTGCGATGCCACAAGCAGGCTTAAGCGTGGAGTTGTTGATCAATTGAAATGATATTAGAGCGACTTCGTTGAGCACCCTACATATAAGAGCTGAGAGATGATTTATTTAGAGAGAGAGAGTGTTGCAGGTTTAGTCCACAGCAATGGTTTGGGTTTCTCTGGGGTGCTCACACTTTACAGGATTAATAAGGTAATCAATCAGACACTATTTCACAGACAGCATATGAGGCACCAAGATGGACATATAAGATAGATTTAATAAAAACATAGAGCCCATTTCGTGGAAGCTGTGTTGTTGTACAGGAACCTGAGAAGATGTCTTCTCTATGACATGGGGTCATATACCAGGTTAGACATGAATTATTGTAGAAGAACGAAAAATAATGAAAATAGCTTGTTGCCAGATAAAAAAAAACAGTTACAAAACAGACCCATCTAGACAGAACTCAAACTTTGTATGCATACAAATGTATTCATTTTTGGTCATTTACAAAACTACGTTAATATGCTGATCTTTTTGATAACTCATCGGGAAATTATACAAACTTATTTACATTCCCCAATTAGTCCAAAAACTTTTCTCTCTCGCTCTCTCTCTCTCTCTCTCTCTCTCTCTCTCTCTCTCTCTCTCTCTCTCTCTCTCTCTATCTGTATATATATATATATATATATATATAGTCTACTAATACCTGATATGGTATATTGTAAGTCAGCTTTGATAGAAGGGGCTTAAATTGAAAGCAGCACCAGTCTATCTATGTGAATCGCATGGGGTTTACGTGTCACACCCAAATATGTGACACTCAAGAGTAAAATCCAGCATAAGCTGTGTGATTTGTATGGTTTCGTGACTGCATGTCAAAAGCTTTCTAAACGTGGTATGACTGATATTGTTACCGAAGTACATGGGTGTAATCTCAGCCCGCTCCAGTGTGAGTCTCCCACAGTAAGATCAGCGGGCTGGGGGAGTTGGCGAGGTGGAATTCAGCTCCATGAATCTTTAATTAGTCCCCTCTATACTTAGGCCCTCAGCGCATCTCCAGTTTCTGACATTTATCGGAAATTTGCCCTTTAAATGTGTGGATGTGAAAAAGTCAAGGTCACTTCACTGACCACAGCCGTATCAAAATCTGCTGTTTTTGGTATTTAGAGCGATGACTCTTTCCTATGGGCAAGTCCGAAGCTCTTTTCATGGTAGGCTTTGTGAGAGCCTAACAGCCAAACCTCATCTCTCAGTTTTACCCATTGTCTTGCATAATCAACACAAATGACACTATAGAACCACAAAGTAATTAGTGAAAATCCTTTGCCTCTGCTTCAGATCTGGTTCTCAGAGAAAGTGAACTGCCTGACAAAAACATCGTTGTGCCAGGCTTTAATCACTCAAAGCAATGACCCATTTTATTGAAATGCAATCATTCCCCTGTCTCTGCAGCAGAATGATTAAGTTCAGCTCAAATTTTGCTGACATGATTTAATTTCTTTGGTAAAGATCTGAAAGATGACTGGTTTCCCAAAAAGAAAGTGTTAAAGTTCAGAAAAGCATCATCTTTCATGATGAAGCCAAACATTTGCGCATTATGTTCCATTTCTACAGCAAAGATGAATTTCTTCTAGGGTATTTAAAAAGAAAAACAGTAATATGTTGAAAACTCCACTGGTCCTGAAAACAACATATGTTTGCTTCATAATGCATGATGCACGATGTCAGTAGAGATTTGTTGAGCCATATGGCACCTCATGTTTCTGTGGACTCCTTCGAATAGATGACTCTTGTTTCTCCAACGGTAAAAACTACTTTTAACAACAGACACCGAATGAAGGATTGGACATAATATTAAACACAGGCATCGGCATGCGGACCCATTCAATATTTTGTGGCTCCTGGCATAAGCTCTTGTAAGCAGAGATAAAATGCGACGTTATTAATATTTCTCAGAAACTTTCCCTGTCTTACACCTTCATTTCTCTCCATCTCCTCGAAGCTACTTATTCTTATCACAAATATGCCATTAATCACCTTAAAAAAGGAGGATTGCGTTAAAAAAAAGACAACAATTAGGAAGTGACAATATAATTTAAATTAATGTGACGTCTCTTACCCTGACAACTGATATGAATGTTCATCATGACAATGCTAGTTTTATTCCGAGAAGCAGGCTTCCTACAGCAGATCTCTGCTGCAATGCCTTGCGGTGTTCAGAAATATAAACAGAGGCGTTTTTAATTTTAACGTGGGCAGACTGATGCATTCAAGCTGTAATGTTATAATTACTGTTAAACGCCACACAGTTGGTGTTACTCTTAAATGTACAAATACTGATTTTAAACTTTCAAGTGAACTTCAGATAATTACATTTTTGAAGAAAAACTGTTTAAAATGAACAAAAATCAACGAACATTAGTCTAATATTAAATTGATCCCCATCCATACTGACATTAAATTAATCATTTTTGAAGACTTTATTTTATTTTATGATGATTACAAAGACACATCTTGCTCTGACTGCAGCCGAGCTTAACCAACAGAAGGGCCCATACTTACCGTAGTGAAATTCTCTGGTCCGCAGTCCTTGCCTCTATATTTGCAGTCCAGCAACATTTCGTCTATGTTGTGGCTTGTCCTCTGCACAAACTCCAGCATGTTGAAGGTCTTGCTGGGGAAAAACTTGCTGTTGTCTGTGGGCTGCCCCAAAGCGGCCATGAAATCATCAAAGTCACTCTGTTCCACACCCAGCAGGCCGGCCATCCAGAAGATGTCATTCCTTGTGATCTGGGACTTGCGAAAGCTGTTGTAGTTGCAGAGGGTGATGGCGGGGAAATACATGACGGGACTGTCCATTTCATCCAGGATGGTGACATGGGGGTACTGGTAATACTCAATCACACGGTCAGCAACTTGTAGGAGGAAGATAGAGAGCGAGGCGCTGAATGCGGCGGCCCAAAGCAAGCGGCGAAAAGTCACTCCACCGGGCAGGAAAATGTGGCTCAGGCCGTGAAGGGTGCAGTTGGCCCCGAACACGGTGATGTCCGACGGCGGACGTGGTGCCTCTTCCTCAGGGGCTCCCATGTTTTCCGAGAAAAGTTTTGAAGCTTGACTGCGAGTTGGCTAGATGTGCATCCGCAGGAGTTGTGACCCTTGGAATACTGAGGGGCGGATGCTTTACTGAAGCTAAATGAACAAAACAGGCTGGGTAAGACGGGGTCTCGTTTCCCCTTTTCCACTCATGGGATGGGAGTGGTTTGGGTATCTGGAGCTGGGCGGTAACAGTGGACTGTGATATCAACCCATCCTCTGTGAGATGTTAGAGGGCACTTTCAATTCTAGAGATCCAGTTTCATTTGGGAAGTAAGAACTGATCCAACAGGAGGCAGTTGTGGATGGGTCCCAGAGGGATGCAGCAGGGTTACAAAGATGAAAGGTGATGCAAATTCCGCCTTCAATTCACCTTGGAACTGAAACACCTTTTTTTCTTTCACACTATTTTTTTCTCTTCTTTTCTTTAGGAGAAATGTCTGGACACTGCTGTTATGCGATTAATGGCTTACTACTTCAAAAAAGTATCTTGTACTAATCAATAAGAGGAGGATCAAATGCAATGTAATGGGTAACAGAACCCTGTGACAGCAAGCCTTTTAACAGAGAGCAAATGAGTGGTTGAGAAATTTTATAACAGGGATTTTGGAAAGATGACATTTTGTAAAGGCAAAAATGTCAGCAATCCAATCATTAGCATTGGATTTAAGTACAGTATCACACCACAGCTGATCTGGTGCTGGCCCCTGAAAAAGCTTTAGTGTTTTCTGAACAAATACTTTAACTGATGTTGAATGACAGAAAATGACACTTATCACAGCTGCTGACAGGAGACGGACAAATGTAGTCACTGATGGACACTAAGTTGTAGCCGTCATTACTTATAGATTTCTGTTCATGACTGTAAATACCAAAAGCTGCCAGGTTCAAAGCTGACTGCCTTTTAATGCCAACCTTACTGACAGGACACTGGGAAAAACAAATTAAGATCCTGTTAATAACAATCTCTTACGTTTGCAGCAAACATCATCCTCTGTCTTGCTGCAGCAGCCTCCCTATCATGTATTTTATAACAGCATCAATTATTAATCTCTGCTCCTGAATACATTCCAACTCATGGACAGGGGCGAATATTTGCAGAATGCAGACCTGAGGCTATTTCAGTCCATCCTGCTAAGGATCTGTCTCAGATTAAATTGATTAGCTTCGAGAAGTATTCACTTAAGGCAGAGTTAATATTGTAAGTGAACTGTTGTTGGGACCTCAGCCACACCACTCCTGACTTGTTATGGTTGAGTTACACTATAAGTGGCTTGTATACTCCTTCCCTTTTATCTTGTTTTGTGACATACTGATCTCCTTTTGCCACCTTTGCCTCCACATGAATCATCAAAATTCATCTTTCTATAATCTCATCATATCATTGCTTTGCCAGTGTTTTGCAATCTGTACAAGTACAAACCTTTAAATACATCTTTAGCTGTTTTATGGTCCACAGTACAGTATTCAGGTGGTAGTGTGTTACTCTGCTTGCACTGAACTTAACTACAATTTGATTTAAAAAAAGAGCTTGCAGATGAGTATAGTGAGTATCAACTAAAAAAATACAAAAACAGGAAAGTTTTACGTCATAAATTCAAAACTAGAAAGTCAAAGACACCTAAACGCTGCTTATAGGTGCGTGAAAACTATTGCTGCAGTTTCATTCCTTGAAGCAACCTCTTTCACTTAAATATTGATTGGTTCAGCCTGAACAGGTCTATAAGGGGTGTCACTGTGGGTCTGCACCAAGCACTGATGCTGCTCTCACTCTGTTGTTTAACATTTAACTTACATCTTACACTCATCTCAGGGGATCATCACTTATCCCTAGAGTTTTCAGATATTTGCTCGGTTCTCTGTCTCATACCCAATTTATATGAATCTCATTTTGTCTGCCAGAAAATTCCACTGCACATAAAACATCCTGTCCATACTTTCCAAATCCCCTATTTTCAGAATGCAATACCCCACAATGTTAAATATATCCCTGAGCCTACATGTAAAACAATCATTTTCTGTCCAGTTTAAGTCCAAATGTAATTTAGCAGATTCTGTTGAAATCTTTGATTATGTTTTGTTCAGTGCGTTCAGTTCAGACGGTGCAACTACAAGAGCAAGCTTTAATCGTGATGTATTTAAAATTCTCTTCCCATAAATAGAGCACTGTTGTTAAGCGATTACCTCCTCTGTTCTGTTGCCCGTAGTGAATATAGAGTTATCTTTCCTCGACCTAACAAACGGCTGTATTTCCTGTATATGGATAGTCTACGCTGCTGTTAAGTGTGAGCAACAACTCAGTCAATACACCGTGGAGTTTCTCCAGATGCTTTAAGTTAGGTGCTCTGTTTAATGCGCTGCCAAAATAAATCAGAAGCACAGTACATCAGGCTTCTCTGTGGACGAGAAAGCTCTACAGTGTGAAGAGGCTGAAGGTGCACTTAAACGTGTCAGGATTACTGATGCTGACGACTAAATACTTGTTCTCAGAAGCCTCTTCGTATCTTAACTGAGTGGAAAAGTCCATCAGACTAATATTCATGGTATCATAAATATAATTATTTTTTTCGTAATTTCTATTCATCAGTCTTTAATGACCCCAAATCCTGTATAATCAGGTTCACAAGAAGTAAAAGTTCTTTCAGTCAAACCGATTTCCAGTTCTTGTTACAATGACAAAAGCATCTTGGCCCCCGCAGAGTAAGAGCAGAGGTCACAAATAGATCAGTGTCTGCAGCTGGGACAAAACTGTGTGCAGTAACTCTCCCACTGCCTCAAAGTCTTTAAAAACTCAAAGGAAAAAAAAGTGTCTTAAAGTCTTTCCAAAATCAAATATATACAGTAGGAGCCAAGTGTGAAAGTGCTGAGCTGACGTATCAATGAAGTGGCAAAGATAATGATGAGCAAGCATGCAAATAAGATCCATAAAATTCCGGAGCACTGAAACAGAGCTTCATGAATTCCTTTCAAACTATGTTAGATTTTGAATCTGCAAACTTCTCAGAGCTAAGTCCAAAAAGCATCACAACAAACATGATGTTTGATTAAAAAAAAAGGGATTTAAATTCTTTAAATCTATAATTCAGAGTGAAATATCACTGAATATCACAGATCAGCTGACGGTAGATTCTGGCATTCTGGTTCATTTTTACCTTCCATAAAACAGGTTTCTAAATGTCAGTAATCAGTGAGTGGGACCTCGCAGTTGGTTTCTTTTACAGCAAGCAGGAAAGGGGCAACAACCGACAAGGAAATATGATATTGCGCATTGACCCCATTACATAAGAATTAGCAATGAAAAGGTTATCATAACAGGAAAGGAGACAAATGTAGCTCATGTTTGCACAACAGTTCTGAATGTTGTGGATTTGCCTAACCATAAGCATGGCTAAAAGAAAAATATATACCTTTGTGCTTCACAGTAATGACAGAATTCCTTCACAGTTTGATTTAATACCTAATTCAATGCTGACACTTTTTCAACAGCCACAACCAATGGGCTTCACACAGCTGCCAAAGTAATTGCACTGAGCATAAAAGGCAGAAAGGCTTCAACGTGAGCACTTCAAAGACCTTTCAAAAATTAATTTCTGTCTTTCTAAGACAGCAATTAGCTGTAAGTACAGTTAGGGGAAATAAGAGGTGACTTTTTCCCATCCATTTAAGAGAGCTTTTTGCAGTCAAAAATCTGAAAATGACGTGCACATCTTCTCTCACAGGCTACATTACCCAGGCCTCTTAAGAGAGCCATAGGTTTTTTTTGAAAAAATGACAAAACTACCTTTAAAGTTTTGTCTATACCTGTCATGGGGATTGCTGAAGCATCTGCTCTGTAAATGAGCAAATATTCTAAATCTGAATATCAGTCAATTTAGTCAAAAATAAAAAAAACCCGCCCTGGTTGAATTATGAGCTGTAGTGAGACAAATGTGTTATGAATGTTAGGCTCCTCTCCTCGGTGGGCAATTTACTTCAGATAACAAAACAGAAATGACTTCTTAAATATGCCAAAGTTTAGTTTTTTCCCTTGTGTGTAATTCCTTTCTCCTAAAATTAATATTCAGATTTTATAACTTGGTGAGTTCTATCATTCTTGGTTTTGTTGAAACATTTGCTTCCAAACTAGTTCTGCACTCTGACCCCAAGCTCATTTTCCAGGAAATGACAGTGTCATCGACCGGAGTCATAGAACAGCCACAACATCTACAAGTTCTCTGAGGAGTTTACTGAACACTCTGATTGGTCAAGTCCCAGATAAGAGCCTTTGTGTTGTTTCCACATCTGAAAAGATGTTTCTAAATATAGCACAGCAATCTTGGCGAAGTTATCCAAGGTTACACATCCAATAAGAGGACAGACTTGCTTTATTATAGCACCATGTGCAGCAGTTGCTTGCAAACAATAGAGCCGAATGGCCATCACACCGAATGAAGGCCCCATGACCATGACACGCTTTATTTTTCAAAGAATGACCACAGCTATGAAGATGGTGTCACACAGCAACAGTCCATAGCAGGTCGTTTAGTAAAAATCCAGACTGTGAAATTGAGAATAGAAAACCAAAAGTGATGACAATGAGGGCCTTTGCATGGCAGTAAGAGCAAAAAAGCTGCAGCTTTTTCTCAATTAAACAAACTGTTTTTGTGATTATGTAAGACTGTCATATTCATATAACTGCCATCTAGGATCTATGACTCCGTTTGGACTTAACTAAGCACCACTAAGCACTGCCCAACAGTAAATAAGTTCTTGGTTTGAATCCTTGGGGCCTATCTGTGAAGTCTGCATGTTCTCCCATGCATGTGTGGGTTCCCTCTTGGTTCCCGCTTCTTCCTATCTTTGAAAAGCATGCATGTTAGGTTAGTTATTTATTTTAATCTAGACAGTAGAGGGGAGTGTAAGTGACATTGTGATTTATGTTCGTGTGGCCCTGTAATGATCTGGTGACTCATCCAACGTGCCCTCTGCGTCCCGTCAAATGGCTCTGGAGCTTT